TCATAAATGAACTACTAAAGCCTTGTAATGGTACTAGTGTCTAATAGGAACACCTCAGTTTAAAGAACAGTCAGACAAATTTATAACCCAAAATGACGTTGTTGCAGCACTACTACATAATGTATAATGTCTACTAACAAAGTCGCATATAACCCCCACCCTGAAGCAATGCATATTGACAAATCTCCAACGCAACATCAGGTACTAGTAGTGCAATCCACTCCTGTATAGCTGAACTGTCAGGGCTTGAAATACTAGGTGCAAAATCGGAGCTGTGCACCCAATGTTTTCCCGTGGGTGCATCGGTGCACCCAAATATTTTTGTAGGTGTACATGTTTGTGAAAGATATTAGATGTTTTAAGTGTACATGTTTGTAAAAGATATTAGATGTTTTAATCTTGACATCTGTGTCAGAAAAAATCAGATTCAAGCTCAGAAGAGGATCAGTAAGGTTTGTAGTTAGATTTTGTTGACATTTTACTTTATATGATGCACCACCAATTTTTTTAAGCAACAGATATTTTAGGTTGGGTGCACCAGTGCGCCTATTCCCAAAAATGAATTTGGAGCCCTGACTGTGCATACCTGGGGGGTGTAGCACTAGGGATTTCTCACTGTTTTTCAAACAGACAGATATGTACATGTACATGTAACCCCTGGGGGTAAATGTTAATGGAGGTTAGTGGGGCAGAAATAATGACTCGGGCATTTGCACATGTTTGCAAACTCTGGGTAAAATGTGCAATATTTGCAAGCAATGCAATGTTGCAAGTACTGGTAACAGAAAAGAAGGATAAACGATACAGGGCTCTTAAAGTGATATTATGTAGGATTTTCGCGCCAAAACTGAAAATACAAATAATTGAAATTTTCTCATCTAGATTGTCATTTTCGACAACTTTCAACATATTAGCGTCGCTATTTCGCCTTTTCGGCAACTCAGCGCAGCGCGAGAATAAGGTGCGCAAGGCCCGACGTATTTATTTGTGCCACAATAAATAGAATGTAAACAAACAACGGTTTTCGTTCGGAAATCTTCGGCAACTTCCGGCGCGTGTCTGGGTTCCATGGTTCGAACGCTTTCGAACGCTGGAGTTCGAAGCCGATTGACTTGAAATTTGCCAATTTTTGAAGGGTCAGTACCTAATCTAAAATCCTCTTTTTGTATATACTTGAAAGTTATCATGTCACTTATCATATTGCATGTGGTAACCACTTTCATACAGTTTCTCATACCAAGGAACGAAGTTTATGACATTACGCTAAATGTATCAAAATGTTGCGGAAACTCAGAATGGTGTGCGCCGGTAGCTACAACTGGGCTAAAATTTCGTCACCGCGATGTGTGCACTGTCGCGGTTTTCTTTGGGGCAAACCCGTTTGTCGTAAAACTAACCAGGGGACTTTGGTATCGATGTAAAGGTGAAGATGTGGGCTATCACACTGTGGTATTAGCTAATGGGATCCAGTTGGCCAGTAAAAAAAGATAAGCACATATAAACTGACCAAAAATGCTAATGTTTGGAAGGCCATAACGATCGGTGTCATTTTGTAATGCACGAAATATCTACATTGTTGTACTAGGCAAATCCTGTAGATATGAAAAAGTATAAACGTCACGTATGTCTAAGGTGTTTTTGTTGCACTATTGACAGTTGTCAAATCGTGACCCGGCAAATGCCGTATTTTAGAGAATAACGTGTTCTACGGTGACCGGCGGTTCGGCTGGATTCGGGAATGCTCGGACGCGGTCGGATGTAAACAAACATGGCCCCGATCCGTGCTAGCGCCGAGAAGTGCGCAGTTTTCTAACACGTTTTTGCGGCGTAACGACGTTTATCTTTTGATCCCTAAATGTCATTATGAACCCAGGTAGGCTTACAGAGCAAGAAAATGTGTAAAAGAAAGATTTCTAACATAGTCAAAATTCTACATAATATAGCTTTAAAAACAGTCTGGTTTAAAAAAATTATTGGGCCCAAAAATACTAATAGAAAGAAATCTGTGGAAAAAGTTTTTTATTGGATATGCAGCCATAAAATTAAAAGGTGCATGATATTTTATACATTCCAAATAACACAGAAAAACTGGCACAATTAGCAATTGAAACATGAATTGGTATTTTGGTTGCCTAATGGGTCTTTCATAAACAAACATAATGTTCTTGATTGAACAATTAAATCTATTTCTAAAGAATGTACCATTACCATCTTTTTATGAAAATAAACACTGTGACGTCATTTTTTCAAACTCATTTTACCACTATGGTGATTTGAATGTCAATGTTTAAATTGTTGCCTCCGAGCTACTATATTGCATTTTAAAGCAAAAATTGATAAAGATTTTAGAGTGACATCTTGATAGAATAATATACCAACATTTTGATGGTAATTTTGTACAAGTTCATTGTTGTGACAACAAAAACATCATACACCATTGGAAAGGCCAAACTTAACAGAGAAAAAGTATGATACTTATCGATGCCTCCTATCTTCTTGTGGATGAATAGCAGTCATACACAGCAGAATTAAGATTTGTTGGGTAGCACATGTAGACATTTAGAAATTAGTCAATCTGAATTGTCAGCATTGATAAGTTTTTAAAGTACAATGTAAGATGGGAGTTGGTAATATAAAGGTATTTATTGTTCGTTTTGGGTTATTTTTTTTACATGCTTAGTTTGTTTTTTTCTCAGTTAAATGACTTACAGAATCCAGATTGTATTCACAACAAAATGGACAGTGATAATTTGTTCAGCACCAAGGACATTGGTCGAAATACTAAGACTAGTAATTGGTTGGTTCAAAACTAAGAACAGCAGTGATTGGTCACTTACAATAACAGTCTGTAACCCTTCTGACTTGTCACTTATGAAGGGGTACTGTTAATTGATTAGAACTCATTGATTAGTTTTTCAATATCATGCCATTTTTAATAATAAAAGTTTTTGCACAATGTTATTTGATTGATACAAATTCAATTTTGCCTTTTAACAGAAAAATGAATGACAAAATCAAATTGCTCAAAGGTTAATTAATTGGAGTGGTATGCATGTTTATGTACACATGTTCCTTCCTAGAATATTGTTCTGAACAATTATAAAATTGCATCTTACTGTATAAATTTTTATCTCTGACATTAATAAACATACTTATAATTGTACAACCACATGTACATGTGTAACCATATGACCATTTTAGAAGATACCCCTCAGTTGCAAATCAAACATATTTCATGTACTTTTCTTAATTTCTTTGTTGTAAAGTTTTCTTTCTCACAAATATAGCCAGCACTATAATGATATATTTTCAAGCCATGAATAGAATGAACAGGTTCTTATATAACTGAAGAAGCCTCTTTGTTATTCCCACACCATATATAGTCATAACACCAAACCAGACCCTCTATTTGCTGTTAAGTTTAGGCACCATTCTCTGACCTGTTCTATTTATAGGACTTATTTGTAACAGATTAATTGGTACAATCTTTACAGACAAGATTTTGTGCCATAGTAGATACCATATAAGCACATTATGATTTATCATTCTCTTTAACAAAACAATACCTACCCTATTAGTATAATCTATTTTTAACCATCTATCTGTTATATATATGGTCCATAGACCAAAATAACTGATTTGTTTTGGACTAGTGTGAGCTAACACGATAATATTAATCTAACCAAGAACTTGACTTGCATATTGTTAACTTTGGTGTGTTATTACTGTTAATATTACTTTTGTGAGTATGTGAATTATATTGACCGGATAGCTTTTTTTAATGCAAAGTTGCATTGTTTGTATTTTTTATGAAGGCTTTATTTAGTCTCAAGGCCTCATTTATTAATTACTCCACTTGTAGACTCTAGATGATTTCAGCCAAAAAAATAATAAATTCCGGACCTGAAAAATTTGTGTGTTTATGATTAGGTCAACCGTAAATTTGATTATGTCAATCCCCTCTGTGGGACCTGTACACTTGTTTGTCTTATAATTGCTGTGGTCAGACACAGTCAGCGTGAGAGGGCATCTTGCGGGTGGTGGGCAATTACAGCTATGAATGTCATAAATTATTTTAATAAGGCTTTCTTTAATTGCCAATGTACAGAACAAGGTTGCTTGCATCTGTGGAGAAACTGCCACAAAAGATGATTATTTTCACAGTACATGTGTATAGTTTATTCAAAGCAACAGAAAGAGCCAGCCTACAATTTACAAAACTAGCAACCGTTTTCCATCAATGACATCGAATTTTTGCCTCACAGATATCAGTATGCTATGAGATAGGATTGGTTGAACTTTCTACATTAAAAGAATAAACAGGAAATTGACTTCAGCCCTGAAATTACATTTGGATGCCTTGAAGTTGTGTTTAGAGTGAAACAGACACTTGCAGTGGTAATGCCACCAAGTACGAGTAAGAACCTTAGACTTAGCTAGGATCATGGCTTAACTTTGTGGAAGAAGTACTTTAGGGAATATATTAAAAGGGAAGCTTATAGATTTCTATTCTGGGAAGAGCTCTTTAAAAGCGTGTCTGTAAATGTAACAGAAAAGTGCCACCTCACAAGGAAATTTCAGTCGTTGTATTCATTGTATTCTTGGTCGTGTACCAAAAATAGCCCTCAATAGTAATCGCACAAGTAAGTCACGACTTCAATCTAAGCAACATTATCGTATACCGAAAGTTGAGTAGCTTCTATTTGGGTCCTGTCATGTACCCTCTTCATTTGCTAATATTATGCATGCTTCGTAGAACTGTGTCTTTCTTCCCATTTACAGAGAGAGAAAAAAACATCAACAATGTGTTCAATTATATGTCATTGACCTTTGTCAACTCCTAATATGGGCATGCAGGTGGTACTACATTTTGTGGCACCCTTCTCATGAGATTGGAGAGTTTAAAGAGATACTAGTAGTCCCAGTCATTAGGTACCTGTAAGTTGTTCATCCTCTTGCAAAGGTTGCGGACCTTAGGGACACGGGTAATGGACGGCGCGATGGCCGGGGTCTCGGGTTCTCTGAGCGACTCTAACTCGTCCGTTTCTGTTTCCCACCAGGCAAGTCTGAAGGAAGGCTGGCTGATGAAGCAGACCAATTCATTCCAGGTAAGAGACTGCACTTTGTTACGTTGTGTATTTTCATGGTTATTACATTGTGCAAGGGCTCTAGCCAGCACTCATTTCCCTGTCAATTGACAGAACTTTGCAACGGAGTCTGACGGAACATTTTTGAAACCAATCCGCCAATCTTGACAGACAAAATCAACAAATATCTTGGGTAAAGGTATAAAGACATCCAAAGGACTACCCTAACCGACAATCTCTCTCAATCCTGTGATTTGCCTCTTAAAATTCCAGAAATGGTGTTTTTAGGGCTTGAAAATGCTAAATTTCCCAGGGAAGCATGCCCCAGGACCCTCTAGATTGCGAGCACCCACCCAGATCCGATCAAGAACCTGAGCTGACGGGAAAAAATTTCGAGCTAGCTACAAGCCCTGCATTGTGGAGATCGAAATCATGTGGCTTCGAATGGCCGAGTAGTTAGGTTAGCGGACATGAGATTGAGAGGTCATGGGTTCGATTCCTGGCAAGACATTGTGTCCTTGGGAAAATCAAACTTTCCTTTACTCCACCCTGGTGTAAAATGGTTGGAGACTGAGGTAAAAGGCAGTAGAAGGCCTAGGAGAGCTCAAGCGATGGTGTCTGTTTCCAATACCATACCCTACACACAGTGGATAACAACCCACTGCCCCTACAGCCTGAAAAAAGGCTAATTAGGACTACCTTTACCTTAACCTACATTAACCTTATGTACAGATGTATTGGTAATTGCTGTATTCTGCAAAGGTCGAGTGATTGCCATCTAGTGAAAAGAGCTTAAGTTAGGACATCTTCAGTTTCCACTAGATGGCATTTGCCAATGATGAGTAACTAACTGTTGAGTGACCAAAATTGACCCTTGATGTTAAATTTTTATGATCAGAATATCTGCAAAAGTGCAATAATAAAAGACTACAAAACACAATATAGTTCATTCTTTTTCTATGAGATTCGCTGAACCATCTGATTGTCAAATATTTGGTTTTTCATGATCAGTCGCCAAAGCTAATTGTCTTGTTCTAGGGGATTTTAAATCTTTGACTTTAGACATCATGAAGTTTTTGTTTGTTCTGCACAACCAGGCAGTAATCCACTGCAAGACACACATGTACATGTTACTCCACTAGCAAGATATAGCTAATAGGAGATGTGTAAAGGACAGGTTTGCCCACTCACACTGGGATGGACACCTACTCATAGAAGTGATACATTGAATTTGTGTGCACTGGTGTACTCTTTTGTGATCACCTCAAACATGGGACCTCTGGTCTAACATCCCATCTATAACAAGTATAACAAGCAAATTGGTATGCAAAATAATTGACATGTTCAGTCATGTAAGCACTGGGGTTAAATGTCCGGCCTTCTTGGAAGTATAGGAGGGTCCGTCATGCGATTCTCAGCTTCCTAAATTCCCCCATTTTGACTTCTAATCAATTCATGCTGGCTCCTGACAAAAGCCATTTTTGACCTGTCATTCTGCCTGTCAATCGTCCCGTCCACCCACCTGCTGTCAACCTGTTCTGTCCAGACAAACAGACACACAAACCCACAGCTCATCATCCATCCAAAAATACTTCAGAATCTGTACCTGAAAATAATTTTGCTTGATTGATTTATGGCTATCCTACATTATTTTTACACTACAAAATCTTGAACATGAGATTTTAGTAAATGTTACTTTCCTTTCCCTACAGAGAATGAAGAAGAGGTACTTTAAGCTGAAGGGCCGGAAGCTGTACTATGCCAAGGAGGCCAAGGTTAGTGCCTGTTTTAGTGTAATGTTAATCAAACAGAGATAACAAAAAAACAGAAAGACATCATCAGAGATTAGTGGTATCATATGCACACATAGTTGCACACAACCAAGATACATTTGTATATCTTATCATGCTACATCAAAAGATATAATGCATTCAAACATATTCAATAAGTATAATTCAGTATTGTACATAAGTCACAAATAGTATTAATGTTAGTAGAGGTAAGGTTTGTGGAATCACAAATTGGTTTCACAAAATGGTTTTTCTTGGTAGATGCACCCTATTCATGTTTTCTTTTACCAGAATATAATGTTACATGATGTACATGTTTATAGTAAGGCCATGTTGATTTGATCATATGGATGACATCCGCGCGCGCATGAATTTTCGGCCGTTTCCACACTGTAAATCGTACAAAACAGTTGCAAAATGAGCAAAAATATACCATGAGTTACAAAAAAAATTAATAAAAACCATACCAATGTCGTAGAATGCCAAAATCAAACGAAAAAAGACGAAATTGTAAAGAAATGAACTTGAAGACTAGATTATTCACCAAACCATATTCTGTGCCATTTGCTCAACCCCCATGACCACGTAGATTTCATAATGAAAAGACTTTTTTTTTGCAAAACTTTTTTTTTATTCGCACACGCGCATCAGTTTTGGGGCTCCCGGAGGATGTCATCCATATAATCAAATCAACATGGCCTAACTGTTACAAAATGTATGTTATGCACATGTCTTTGTCCCTGTATAGCCTATGTGGTCCCATAAGATTCACTGGATAACGATTGCATCTATTTTTGCCTTCTCCATTGAAGTACATGTCCAATTATCCTACTGCAGTTTTCAGTACATGTAAACATTCATTGATCTTTCATCAACTTCAAACTAGGAATATGTTTATGTAACTGACATTCCAGTTACTTCAAAATAGAATTCCATGAGACATGTTAAATTATGTTTTTGCACTAAATATTGAAATATTTTACTGGGGGGGGGTAATTACATAAAATTGTGTTTTTGGGATTTTCTTCAACTGTTGTTACCCAAATTTGAGGTTGATTCAGAACCTGTATAGATATTGTATTTTTATTTTTCAAATTAGAAAACCAAGAAATTATATTAGTGTGGCTATAGCTGAATAATAAGTATGTTTTGATAATTATGGAGGAATAGGACTTTCTGATAACATTTTTATTTTTTAAGCCGTCACATGTCAAAAGCGAGTATTTTTAGCGTTACCTGTTGTATCGCAGATGGCGGCTATATTTAGGTCAGGCTGTCTTCTGGGGGCGGCGCGCGCCCGCTATATTCGCACAAATCCCACATCCCTGTAGAGCCTGCGCCCACCTGCCAATATAACCGCCTCCGTTATTGGATCCGTCTTCTCAATTAGGGCAGGTTTGAGTCTTAATTAGGGCCGGTTCAGTCAAAATACACTCCCCGGTGGTTCAGCCATTATCTGGGCCCATAAACAGGCTAACCTTTGCGTACGCATCTTCTGAGGTTCATTCACGTGTCGAGAGGCTTCTGACTGAGGATAGTTATTCCTAATATGGGCATGTTCGGGAGGGAAAGTCCTACCACAGGGCATCTATCTTTCTAAGGCCTAAATTGGCACATGGGTCTATTTTGATGGCATCTTTTGCACGCCGTCTTTTGAGCAGCGTTTTTTTGGGACAAGATTCGGAACTGCCTCCGGTTGTCGGTAAGCGTAGAAATACGCTTGGGAAGTCCAGACGTTTAAAGAAAACTTTGTTAAAGAAAGAAAGAGTGTGCAGCAGTGTTTGAAAGAGGACATTCTACAACTTAGAGGGACCAGGACTAGTGGTATGTACATTTGTAAATGTATTGTGTCTGTTTGTGTGAGATATAGTACATGTACGTCAAGGTAAAATAACAGAAATATATTACTTATTAACAAGAATATTACAGTAGGGATCCTATAAAATACAGTTACTGTAATGTACCCAAAGCAGTTAAAATTGGTGTGTACATGTATATAGTATTATAGAGTGTCATAATGATTGCGTTATCGAATTTCTACCATAAATAGTATATATGATACAATGTACACGTACTTCTCTAATGCTTAGAAAGCAAGGTTAGATTTTACCAAGAATGAATAGATGATTGACAACACATGAATAAGTCCAGGGACAATGAAGTCAATTTGGTGCCATTTGTCCAAACACATTTAGATTGAGATTATGACAGCAAATTAAGAACTACCGTACGTGGCTGTACATAGAGTCTACCACATAAATCACATTGTACAGTTACAAATTAAGTCATGAGACCAGCAATGCAACAGGTACAGGTCATCTATGGGAACTATAAGGTAGGGTGGTACGCTCCAAGCAGAGGTTTAGGCTTCCGTTAATTTTTGACGTGTTTTGAGCATTTTTATCTGGCTTTCTTTTCTGTACTGCTGTCAGTTTTAACGTTAGGCGCTTTACATGTAGTGGTGTACTGGATACTGCCTGGCCAATTTGATACTGTATTGCCAATTTGATACTGTATTGCAGCCACCGAAAGATCTGCTTGGAGATTAGTACTAGAAGGGAGGCCGATGCATGCAAATGTACATGTATGCAGTGTACAATAATGGCCTACTACGAATTTCTACTTGGCCTAGTTTTGATGGCCCTTTGCATGTATTACAGACAAATTATAGTGTGAATACATGTGTGTGGAGTAACTTTTCCCAGAATTCACTCAAATTTACGGATTGAACAAATTATTTTCATGGAAATTGGTATAAGTTACCGGGAATATCACCTTTGTCAAACTTCATTGCACATATTGTCTTTCTTGGAAATCCATTATAGATTGGTAAATGCTGTTGACCCAATTGATTGATTTGGCCCTGCCGCTGCTATGATAGGATATTCATGTGTATCCCCATGTGTTATCTGGTGTTTGCCTGGTCCGTGCCTGTACATATGCTCAGCTCTGTAAGACCTGTTGTTTTAATGGTATAATCAACCAGTTGCATGCAATTAGTTCATACCTAATGCGATTATATGGTTTTTGTTTGAGCCAGGATACATGCATATATGTATATTTACTCAGTCATATTAACCCACATGTATTTTTACTGTAACTCTTGAAATTTTGTGATGGTTTTTTTTCTCAATTTTTTTTTTGTGATGTGCCTTTTTAATTTTTTTTGGTTGATGTGCTTTTTTTAAGACAACCCATATCTTGAAACTTTTGCAATGTATTTTTTTCATGCTGACCTTTCAGATTTCAGGCCTATTTTTTATCAATTCATCTGGAATAAAAAAAAAGGAAAACAGAATCTCTACATACATTTGTATTGCCTCTATTTTTTTGGAGAAAAAAGGAAATGCAATCAATCAATCAATTGCCCAATCATTTGCTAAAATAAGAACCGCAACATTTTTTCTAGGACCTAAATCTTTACAGGTATTCTGCCATAGAAGGAGCACAATGTAGGTCATATGCACACTCACTGACATGGCTGGAAATCAATAGTAGCTAACAGAGCATTCAAAGTAGTGAAACAAATGCATAATGATACAACCCAGTGGCCTAGCATAGTGCATGGGCCTGACAACATTTGCATTAATAACACTTAACATAAGTTCTTTTAGCTGTCAGGTCACTTTTAGTTCCCTTACATTTTTCTACATGAGTAGTTAGTGTAAGTTTACAGTAATTTACCTGCATCCATAAACACTAAAGCCACAGCCTTGTTTTTAATGGAAAGCTGCACTGAATCCAGCACCAAGGACAGCACATACTTTCCAAAAATGACTCAGATTCTTTTTCAGTGATAGAATTTCAACCTTGTATCTCATTTACATCGTCCAAATCATATACAGATTCTCATACATTCTAGTCATTCTATTATGGATAGCCAGTATAATGCTAAATACCTTTTACAGAATGCCTGTCATTCGTCAACTTAAGCTCACAATATTTGTCATCCTAGTCATTTTGATGACCTTTAGTCCTATCTACTAAATAACTCTGCCTATCACTATTTAATTGCATGACTATTTTCAATCATTCTGACGTATTCAGTTGGTTGTCATCCATGAACTCCTAGCACCTGACAGAGGAACTGCAGGGCATATGGTATAGTCAGAGTACTAACTGCCATTGATGTCACTCACAATGTATACATTTCAACTGGGAAAGCTATATTCATTACCTGAATTCCTTATGCTTCTACATCCATTCATGCTGACAAAGAATCCCGAGCTCCTATTGGACTGATTTTCATGGTGATAAAGAATCCTGAGCCCCTATTGGACTGATTTTCATGGTGAACAAAGAATCCTGAGCTCCTATTGGACTGATTTTCATGGTGATAAAGAATCCTGAGCTCCTATTGGACTGATTTTCATGGTGATAAAGAATCCTGAGCTCCTATTGGACTGATTTTCATGGTGAACAAAGAATCCTGAGCTCTTATTGGACTGATTTTCACAGTGGTAAAGAATCCTGACCTCCTATTGGACTGATGATTTTCACAGTGATAAAGAATCCTGAGCTCCTGTTGGTAGTTCTGGGAATGGAAATGGTTCTCTTGAGTTCGAGATGTATGGCCACAAGTTCTTAGGGAGAAGGCTCTATTTTATAACAAAGGCCAACAAAATTTGATGTTAAAAATACCAGTTTCCTGAATGCATTCCATATCTTTTTTAATCTTTTTAAAAGATAAATCCCTACCTACTATCCTAATTTTTTTCAGGACCGTAATTGGAAACACAACTGTTGTGTTTCCATTAATTTTTCTACGCCTGGCCAAAATATCCTCCAGCAAAACGCCAGCTTCAAGGACAGATAGCAAATAGCCAATCTCGTTAAGATTGAAAAGGGACGTGTATTTTGGGAGATATCCACAACGCTATTAGAAAGATCTTTGTAGCAGCCTCGTTGCTCCCAGAATAAATGCATAATCTTCAAGGGATTGATTTTTTCCTTTTTGTCCTTGAAGCAAACAACTAGGTCAGAACAAAAAGGTGTAACAAACAACCCTGGTTCTATTTGTAGATTAGGTTTTCATGTATCTGTATGGCCATACTGACTTGATTATATGGATGACATCAGTACATGCTTCAATTTTTTGCCAGTTTAAAAAAAAAGAAGAAATGTGACAATACAGTTTCTTTTTATACTTGAAGTGTGACAGAGATTGAAAAGAAAAGAAGAAGAGGCCAGAGGAAGGGAAGAATAGCAGAGCTCAAGTTACCACTTGCTTGCACCACTAAGTCATTGAATGTACCAAAATCACATATTTTGATTAATAACTAACTTAAATATAATTTTGAACGCTTCCTGACCACTTAACAGTCACATTTGATAATCAAGGCAACCTTTTTTTTTGCGCATGGTCGAATCAGTTTTAGAGTGCCCAGAGGATGTCATCAATATAATCAAATCAGTATGGCCCAACCAGCATTTTTATTTGATGGCTTATAATTAATGTAATGTCTAGTGTCAGGAAGCTGCCTGCAACTTTCTTAATGCAACTGTGACAATGATATAATCATTACCATGGCAATGGGGGTAAACATCTTCCACAGGTCCTTTTGCAGTTTTATTTTCACAGTGATGTCACATTGCGATTTTAAAACACAGCGAATATGATCATGTTTTTGTAAGTCTACTTTGTTACAGAACTGTTTCAAGCCTGAACCTCGAACACAGCGAAAAACACATTTTCCCCATTAACACAATAAAACCACTTATTAAACTTTCTGCATATATAGTAACACTTATGGCAGGTAAGTAGGTAGACCTAACAAGGTTGGAAACAAACCATATTTTGACAGGATGTTATTGACAACAACGCTAATATTATTAGCTCCATGCCTCCAAAATGCTGTAATGTAATAAAATAGCATTACAGCCTAGAGAAAATGAAATTGTTTATGACGTCTTTTTCTGGTATAGTGTGTTAGTAGCACTACAGTAGGGGGCTAGTCCACTATGTGTGTGGTGTTGTGTGTTCAACTACCATACTCTTTCTCATAGAGTGAGAAAGCAATATGTACCATTTTTAAAGTCTTTGACACTGTATGACATGGTAAGGCTTTGAACTCACAACCTCCTGGTTACAAAGTGAGCACTCTTTCTAATTGAGCTATTGTACTACAAAATGTACTACATGTGGCTCATGTTTTAATGAATGAAGTTTGCTCTTTTTTCTGCAGTCCCTGCTATTTGATGAGATCGACCTTACGGATGTCAGTGTGGCTGAATGTAGCACCAAGAACGTCAACAACAGCTTCCAGGTCAGTCTGCCATGCATGATACCATTGTACACAGGGCATAGACTAATGTGAAATAGATTTAACTTAGAAAATACAACACAAAAACTTTTGTGGTGGTTTGATGTAGGTAGAAGAGAAAATGAGGCTTTCGCTGTCGAAGTTGGCGTCAGAATAGAAAACATTGACAAAACGACTTAAATCCGTTTAATTTTATCTGCTGTCTTCAATGATGCTATGTACTTGCCATGAATGCAAGGCACTTTTTGACCACCGCTAGTGCTGGTCATAGAAAAGAATGAACCTTTCGTTTCTGGGGCTGTTTTTATCATGGACCAGTGCAGGTTAGGTGCAGATAGACAACAGCAATACCTGCACTGCTCCAATTCTACCTGGCAGTGCACTAACCTGCACATGCAGGTCATGGTATTTCCAACCCTTGCATGTATGTTAATTCAAACATCCTGTTGAATCCACGGTGTCCTTTTGAGTATCACCAAACAGGTTATTGATTTAGATCGGCCTGTTTATAACGACGTTTCCCCAGGTCATTACACCCTTCAGACGACTCATCCTCAGTGCGGAGAACCGTAAGGAGATGGAGGAATGGATGGCCGTGCTTCGCGCCGTGCAGAACAGAGAGTTCTACGATGTGAGTAGCCTTTACTTCTCTACTTTACAGTAGCTCTAGAAGCTATGGATGGATTGTCATGAAACTTGGTAGGTGGATAGATCTTCATACGACCTCAAGATTGATAGATTTGTAGCACCCTAGCAGCTTGTTTCCCTCATAAGAATGTTTTTGGAAGTGAAATGAAAATGAAGAGTTTCTGAATGATTTGCTCAGCTGATATAACCACCATTTGTCTCAACACACCACACTGTGTAGAGTTTGTAGTACTGTAATTAGATACCTGTAGAGGTCTGTAGGGGCTCCCAGATTTAGAAATTAAAGTATTACAATATATAATGCTGGGCTGGTGCTTGGTTTCCTCAGTGAAGACCTGACAGTGAAAAGTAGCCTGCAGGTTGATTTGGGTGCTGGAATAAATTCAATAAAGGTCAACAAAGGAGGATGTACTCAGTACACTAGTCTATCATGTACAGCTGACTCAATTACAGGGTAGACAAGGTACTCGCAGATTTCTGAGAACCTTCTTCAGTTCTCAGGAAATTGAGTAAAATTGCGTATTGTGTGGTATAACCCCTGACATTAAGCTGGAACATATGGCTGTACTCCCTACTGTGTTATCTAATGACTAAAATTAACCTGCAGGCCAAAATTTCATTGACAAACAGGTTTGAACTGAATTTTTTTCAAAATGACTATCTTCTACCAACAATGCACCATACTCTTGTGTGTTATTAGAGTCATTTGTTCAGCCATCATAAGGAAGTAGGATTCATAATGAAGGCGACTTTTTTAAATTCACACGCTCGCATCAGTTTTGGGGTTCCCAGAGGATGTCATCCATATCAAACCAAAATGGCCTTAGTTTTGAATCCATAATTCTGTAATTGTAAACTGTCTGTATATTAAGTATTAATTTGTAAGCAAAGATGATAAAACTGTTTCTGAATATGAGTTGTTCAGCTGATATAACCACCATTTGGCTCAACACATCACACTGTGTAGAGTGAGTATTCCATTAATAAGATGTAGATGTCCAGTAGCTTGTAGCGGCCCCCGGAGGAGGAAAAGTAGTATGTAATGCTGAAATGGTGCTTGCCTTTTCTCAGTGAAGACCTCAGTGAAAAGTAGCCTGCAGGTCGATTTGGGTGCTTGAATATATTCATTAACAGTCAACAAAGGAGGATGTACTGTCACGTACAGCTGACGCAATTAAGTACTCAAACAAGGTACTCGCAGATTTCTCAGCCAGTTGAGAAAAATTGCGTATTGTGTGGTATGAACCCCTGACATTAAGCTGGAACATATGGTTGTGTTATCTAAGGACTAAAATCAACCTGCAGGCCACACTTCATAGACAAACAAGTTTGAACTGAATTTTCAAAATGTCTTCTACCAACAGTGATTCAAAGACACAGGCCCAAACAAAAACACGTTGTTCAAAGAAAGACAAAGAAAGACAAACTACTAAGTACCAGCCCAGAAAAGAACAAGAAATTAAGTCATCTCTTCAAGTACCAGAGCTATCAGCCAAGGATTGAGGTGTTCAAAAACTCATTATTTCCCAGAACTATTGCAGAGTTGAACTTGCCGTCACAAAGTTCAGTGGGGCATCATCATCGTAACAAGTCGTTCGGTGTAATATAGCCAGCTGCCGCCACGTCACGTGAAGCTGGTGTGTTACGCCAAAGGGCAGTTATACTGACTATACAGATACAGAAGCTGGTGTGTTACGCCAAAGAGCGGTTAGTCTGACTATACAGATACAGAAGCTGGTGTGTTATGCCAAAGAGCGGTTATACTGACTCAACAGATACAGAAGCTGGTGTGTTACACCAAAGAGCGGTTATACTGACTATACAGAATACCAATGCAACAAAGGGATCACGTCGAGTTACAGCTACAAACACATTGCTCCTGAACTGATTACAATACTCAGTCAGAGGTCACTGACCTCCTTCCCAGAGTATGAGACAGTAATGTAATCCTGGCGAAATGTCAATGATGTGAAAAGAGTTGGACTGGAAACAGGGTGGTTGCAGATTTTTAACAAATCCACAAGAAAAAGCTTCGGCTTTCAGTTCATTGACCCCTGCAAGGAAATTGCCTCTTGTGTGGAAAGACCTCTTGACATTTGGCATGAAGAAGAGTTGATTCATTCCTCACATCTGTCACACCACAGTTGTCCTTCAGTAAGACATCTTGAGCTGCATAGTTACATTCAGAACTTGGAGTACTGGCCTCCCTGCTGTGTGTTTGAAAAAATGTTGACAATGTGTTTCCAGTTTCTCAACTGACCCTGGCAAAAACCGGGTGGCCCTAGCCTTTTTTTCAAAACCTCTGAAGTTTTAAATGTCATATAATGCATTTATCTAACGAAAAATAAGAAAATAAAACTGTTCAGAAACCAGTACATTGCCGTGTGATTTATTCAAAACGTTGTTTATCTTTGAAAATAGGACTATAGGTTATATATGAGTGCACAGCAATAGGTAGTGCTATCTATAATGTAACATGAAAAACACAACTGCAATGTGCCTTGATCATCTTTAAACAGGACACATTTATTATAACACATTTCCTGTCCAGACCATGTCACCCCTCGTTACGTCGATGAAGGTTAGACATCCAGGTAATACGATACGCCAAAAAACAGTTACTCAAGCAACTGGATATGATTTTGAAAACGTCAGACGTTTCAGCTAGTATCCACTAGCTTTCGTCAGTGACTGAGAGACCAGAGGGGAAAGCAGGTTTATAAGTACAACCTGTTGATTGATATGCAAATAAAGTGAAGACAAATTTTTGGAAGTCGAAAAAGGAACAAAAGTCAGACAAGTCAAGACAAAATGATGCAAATTAGTCTGAAAGCTCCTGTTATACAGAACAGGAGCTTAAGTGTTGTCTGTCCTCGGGGCTGGGAGTGCCAAATCCCAAGTGCCGGAAAGATCAACTCGTAGCCCCCCTTCCCTGTTGAGGGTGGGGTTGTACATTCTTTCATATATTGCCTCTTTAACACCCCGTTCCCACCAGCGTGTTTCGCGGTCTAAGATATCCGTGGACTCGAGTTTGAAAGAGTGACCCTGGTTGTGTTGTAGGTGGTGGAAAATAGCTGAGGAGTAGCCGTTGGCACTAGGTCGGCAATGTTCTTTGTATCTTACTTTGAGTGGTCGACTTGTCTCTCCGATGTAGGTGTTGTTACAATTGGGCTCCTCACATTTGAGTCTGTAAATAACATTCGCCTTGGTACCTTTGTGAGGTCGGTCCTTAGGGTGTACCAGTCTTTGTCTGAGGGTTGAGTGAGGTTTGAAGTTAGTGGCTATGTTGAAGTTTTGGAAGATCCGTCGGAGTTTCTCAGATACTCCTTGGACATACGGAATAGTGATGTTGGCCTTATTTTTGTTGGTCAATGGTTTGCACTTCTGGGTTTTCTTAGACTGATCTGAAGGTTTGAGCGCTTTGTTGAAAGTCCAGTTTTGGTAGCCACACTTAGCCAGGGCACCTCGGAGGTGTCTATGTTCGTCCGTTTTGGCTTGGTCTGAAGTGACAATGTTGTCTGCACGATGGAAGAGAGTTTTGATCACTGCTAGTTTGTGTTCCAAAGGGGGGCTACGAGTCGATCTTTCCGGCACTTGGGATTTGGCACTCCCAGCCCCGAGGACAGACAACACTTAAGCTCCTGTTCTGTATAACAGGAGCTTTCAGACTAATTTGCATCATTTTGTCTTGACTTGTCTGACTTTTGTTCCTTTTTCGACTTCCAAAAATTTGTCTTCACTTTATTTGCATATCAATCAACAGGTTGTACTTATAAACCTGCTTTCCCCTCTGGTCTCTCAGTCACTGACGAAAGCTAGTGGATACTAGCTGAAACGTCTGACGTTTTCAAAATCATATCCAGTTGCTTGAGTAACTGTTTTTTGGCATGTCACCCCTCATATAAATCTCAGAATGGTACGGTCGAAAATCTGTAATAATAAACAATTTGATTTTCAAGTGGTTGAGAAGGGACACACTTAAGTAATGCCAATTGGTGATAAAAATGGATTTCCTGGAACACTCGATGGTTTGAGATAAACATGTTGTTGTCATCTACTGGTTTTCTTGGAACTCATCCTGGCACTCGGACATACTCTTTAAGCCACACCAATTTAATTTGTTGGTTCTCGGTTTCACCTCTTCATTTTCTTCTGATTTACAACAAAAAAAAGATTCTGGTTCTGAATCAACTCAAAAATGCACATATTTTGCCCCCCAACAGTTGAGGAAAGTCCATTTCCTCCTAGTTGTTACAGTTTTTCCATCTATCAATGAAGTTACTTTTGATTAAAAGTTCCAAATTCATTGTTTAAATATTAACCCAGCCTTTTGTGTTGGCTTCATGGCTCCTATCCTAGCATTTGGGGCTATAATAGGATGCCTAGACCTGTTTTATGTTTTTATTTTTTCCTTCCTGTTGCTCCATATTTTTTTCTGAAAAAATCTGAGAACCAACAAATTAAATTGGTGTAGCCTTAGATAATGTTGACTACCTACACGCAGAACAGATACGTCACTGCAGCTAGGTGACAGGTACCTGACTTTAGTCAGGGAGGTAAGGCAGTGGAGGAAGAGGCCTTCCAGTATCGTGCTCTGGACACAGTGGAACGCGCTGCCCAACAGCATCTAAAAGGCTACAAGACTACCTTTACCATAACCATAACCGTAACCAGTCTGCCTGTTGTTCTGTTTTTTCCGTCTCCAGCCCAGCAGTGAGAACATGGACCAGTTTAACGGGATGCACAACTGGTACACCTGTAGCCACGCCCGCCCCACCTACTGTAACGTGTGCAGGGAGGCTCTGTCTGGGGTCATGTCCACTGGACTGTCCTGTGAAGGTGTGTTTATTCTCTCTCTCTCTGATTTATCGTCTGTTGTTCCTGAGGGCTAACAAGGGTTAGAAGTACTTGCACTCTGATGCTGGGACTTGATGGTAGCTTGCCATTTGCCTCAGTCCTATGGTTCTTGGGCACAGCAAATGTCAATACCCCTGTGGGTTAGTGTCTCAACAACTTCACCGGCCAGCCACGCGGTGTCACATTAAGTGATGCAATCCATAATTTGGATGCTCCTTTATTGTACTAAGTAATAAGTCTCTTGTACTATTAAGTATTATAATTATTGGATGTGTGTTTCATTCCATTTCAATCCACTTTTATTGCGCCCGTTGAGATTACATTGTAGAAAAGAATGAAGAAATACATGTACATCAACATTTCTATCATACAGCACTATTTATAATGTTTCCAACAAAGATAATGTCTCATTTTTTTATCCCAAAAAGTGTGCAAGTTCAAAGCTCACAAGCGGTGTGCGACACGAGCTCCTAACGCCTGCAAGTGGACCGCCCTGTCTTCCATTGGACAAGACACCATCGAGGATGATGAGGGGGTAAGAATAAATTATGCAAATTTCTGACAACTAGCTTACTTTTGTTCACATAACTAGTAGTAGTAGTAGTAATTTAAAAACTGTTACATTAAATCCATTGCTACATTTTTAATGGAAAGCTGCTTTGAGTTCAGCACCAAGGACACTACCTATTTTCAAAAAGTGACTTTTTAGTCAGTAGCTTACGGAATATTGTTACGTCTCATTGTATTTCTTTATTAAAATTTCTTTGTCTTGCTATTAGCTCTTAGACAATAATTTCAATAAACATTCAATAAATGATTACTTTTTCAAATGTGTAGGGTAAATTTTCTGAAGTGTACCTGGCTGTATTTCAGATCCACATGCCCCACCAGTGGTTGGAGGGTAACCTGCCTGTCAGTGCCAAGTGTAGTGTGTGTGACCACACGTGTGGGAGTGTTCTCAGGCTTCAGGACTGGAAATGCCTCTGGTGTAGAGCTATGGTCAGTATTACTGTTTTTTTTAAAGTTTGTTAATCTTAAAATACTCACGATGGGGTCACAAAAAAGTCCCTCCCACAATAGATGGTGCATAGTGCAGTGCTCATCTTTGTTTCAATAGCCACACAATGGCAGGAGGCTAGTGGTGTGTGTAACTCCAATACTCCTTCCTAAATGCTGAGTGTTAAACAGAGAAAGCAGTACATGTATGTACCATTTTTATAGTTTTTGTTATGACTTCCAAAGGGATTGAACTCACAACCTATTGATTGGAAGATGAACACTCTACTCACTTGGCCATTACACCGATCAAAGTACAGTGCTTTTATACTTGTTTATGATATACAGATGTCATTTCTGTCAGTAATGGCCACTGTAAATGTCAAACACAGCAAAGACCCTCTTCCCCCGCTGACAAAATTAAGTTCCCACCAACCTATATGTAACCATTGGTAAACATTTGCAAACATGTTATGGTATGGTTGATCAGCCTGACATGATTTTCTTTTCCCCCTAGGTCCATACAACGTGTAAGGAGATCTTCCCCAGAAAATGTCCCCTGGGGGACTGCCGCCTGTCCATCGTCCCGCCCACCGCGCTCAACAGCATCGACTCTGATGGATTCTGGGTAGCCACGCGCCCGACCTCCAGTAACCCCCTGCTGGTGTTCGTCAACTCCAAGAGCGGAGACAACCAGGGGGTGAAGTTCCTCCGCAGGTTCAAACAGCTTCTCAACCCAGCTCAGGTGTTCGATTTGATGAACGGGGGACCGCACTTAGGGTGAGGAAGCTGTATGCGTATTTCTCGGGTCCAAAAGTGATGAAATTCCTTGCAAACAATATTTCATAGTTTCCTAAAGGCATCCAATGGAATTTCAGGATGGCAAAACAAGAAACATTCTGGATGAGGAAATCTGTCTGATAACAGCATTTACTGCCATTTCTGAGCACATCCTTTCATACTTGAGGCATTTGAAATAGCCCCAAAACAATGTTAACTAGAAGCTTACGATGCAAAACAAGCAACTGTTTTCCATCAGCATCATTGCAGTTTAACCGCACAGATGTCTGTATGCTACAAATGTATAGAATAGAGTTGATTCAACTAACTACATTTAAAATGAACAGAAAATTGACTTTGAAAATTCAGTTTTACTGCCCTGGAATCACTTTGGGTGCCTCTTAACCCTTACATGCACTCAAACTCGAGGGCCAGGAAAATCTAAAATGCTCCCCAGAACTCTGAAATGCCTGCTTTCTTGTTTCAGGTTGCGGTTGTTCCAGAGGTTTGACCTGTTCCGTATCCTGGTGTGTGGAGGAGATGGCAGTGTGGGATGGGTCCTGTCAGAGATCGACAAGCTCAACCTCCATAAACAGGTGATAAAAACTGTGTAATAATGATGTAATAGGTAGGGTCAATTTATGCACAGTTATCATTAGTTATAGTGAATGTGTTAGCTTCCTTGATATTTCTATGATTGATATGGATGCTGAAGTGAGCTTTTAACATATTTTATTGTCTGAAATGACGACGGCAATGTTTTAACACTCAGTAATTATTTACAAACAATCGTGTGAATGTCAGAGCAATTCAGGACCCAATTGCTAGGGACCTGCTATTCTGTACATGTACATTAAGTGCTGAATTATCATATTATATTTATAAAAAGGGAGGGAGGTGACAAAGATTGTTAGTGATCTGTGTCGGACACTGTATACATGTGTGTACAATATGTAGTGTCCTTGATGCATACTTGACAGTGTCTGATGCCAATGTTTCAACACAAGTCTTGTTGCAAATACTAATTTTTCCCCTGCCCAGTGCCAAATGGGAGTTTTGCCACTCGGGACAGGGAACGACCTGGCCCGGGTGTTGGGATGGGGGGCAGCATGTGACGACGACACACAGCTGCCGGCCATCCTCTGGCAGCTGGAGAGGGCCACCTGCAAGATGCTGGACAGGTGACAGCTGGCAAATACTACAATTTACATATATGGCACCTGCTTATTACAAAGATTTCTTTGCACACATTGTTGTTTTGTATAGTGGCAATGAATTGACCGAAAGAGTAATCTAAAGCTAGAAAAGCTGGCATCCAAGCTACAATGTATGATTAATGCCGTACAAGTCATGTTACATCTGAACATTTCCATAAAAAGGTTTTGATATGCAGTACATGTGTAATTACCTCACAATTTTTCCTGTAGATGGAGTATCATGACCTGTGAAACCAAAGTCCCAGGTGCTGCTGACTCCACTGTTTCCACACAGCAGGCAGAACAGGTAACATTAGAACATTTTATTCTAGACATGAGTTACTATAGTGTGATTGTCAAATAATCACAAACTAAGGGCACTAAACTAAACTTGGGACCTAGTCCTGTCACATGATTGTGCACGAAAAAATTCAGTTGTCTTGTTACAGAAAGGGCTACAGTTCTGTTCTGTTCTGTTACAGCCTGCTTTAAACTACTGCGACATCGTAATGGTACAACCACCTACTGTATGACAAGTTTTCTCCGTGTGTATATATTCTATATGATTCTGCATGGATATGGCACAATGAGGATATTCTATATGACTCTGTGTATCTGCCTGTAGGATGAGATGACAGCGTATGAGCTTCAGGACTCTGTAGCAACCCACCTCAGCAGGATACTCCAGTCTGACCAGCACTCCGAAGTCATTCAGTCTGCAAGGTACGGAGTATTGTTTGGGGTGGCTGAGTTCTGGGTGTATTCCGACAGTAGTTTTCAAATGTTATGTCGGAAAAAATATCGTCTGCAACAGGCAAAATTCTAATGCAACTTTGACCAAAAATCCAACGAAAACCGTGAAAATCCAGGGTTCTGCGCAGGCGCAGTACGTTCCACCGACGTGCTAATTTCATGTAAGTTGTAATATGGAATTGACAATCTTTCTAAACAGTGTGATTGCCTATTTGTTAATAATCATTTGGAATGTATCTGAAGTTCCCACGCTATAAGAGCAATGTTTCTTTGTCTGACTTAATTGCTTCTAAATTGTGCAGTTTTTTAAAGAAATATCATACTGAATTTGAAATGTTTGTCTTCTTTCAGAGTCTTGTGTGAGACAGTTAAACACTTTGTAACCAAAGTAGGAACTGCTTACAACACTGAGGAGGAGAGGTCAGAAGGTGACAAGGACTCCATTACTCACAAGGTGAGAACTGAGCTGTGGGTTTGTGTATGCGTTTATCCAGACAGGGTAGCTTGACAGCATGTGGGTGGGGGGACTATTGACATTGACAGGCAGAATGACAGGAGGTCAAAAGGTCAGACTCAGGAAATGGGGTGATACCAGCAGACATGGGGGGAATTCAGGAAGCTGAGGATTGCAAACTTCCCAATAGTTTGAAATCTCCAATTTCTCCTTTCAGAACTGATTGAAGTAGTATCAATTTGTCATGTAAAAGTCTCTCATGTTTCAGTGTAAAGTTCTAGATGAGAAGTTGAACTCTCTGCTGACAACCCTGAATGAGGAGGCTCAGGCCAAGCCCCTGCCTGCAGTTAGCTCTGCTGTCCAACAGGAGGAGCTGGTGTCAGGATCTCCGCAGGACACGGTACCGGAGGGGCTCACAGCGCCTTCGTCAAGTAGGGTACGTCATCACGTGTTGTTTTCTCCTTTGTGTTTCTAACCCCAGTTGTATACTAACTTGTTTGGTGTAGACGCAATCCAGTCACAAGGAAAAAATGCTCCACCCCTAAGGAGTTGCCAAAAAATAACTAGGAGTTTACACATTGGATGCTGTAAGGGAACTAGCTACATGTAGGGGATCAACAGAAAATGAAGGACTTAATCAGTTTGAATAAAAAGTGGCATCCATGTAGGTTTGGGCTCCCTACATGTAGCAGTTGAATTTAGAACTGCGGGGACATTTTTGCATAAAAAGTTGAAATAAAGTTGTGAAATAATGAACCAGAATTGTGCAGCAAAGATCTGGGTAGGTAGTTGCCCTGACAAATGAAACCGATGTCCAGTCTCTTAAAATAAAAATCACTAAATAATTCATCACCTATGCACTTATAGTGCACTCAAACGGAGGACAAACAATGTTACAATTGGTTTATGAAGGTTTATGTCTAGTAATTGCAAAGCTCTTATTAGGCCACACCAATTTAATTTCTTGGTTAACGGATTTTTCTAAAAAAATAATGGAGCGGGCGGGCGAAAAAAAAATAAAAATAAAAACAGGCCTAGGCATCCTATTATGGCCCAAAATGGTACGATAGGAGCCATGAAGTCAACACACCAGGCTGGTTCAAAATTTAAACAATGAATTTTGAACTTTTAATGATACTACTGCATTGAAAGATGGAATGACTGTAACAAGTAGCAAGAAAAGGACTGTTTTCAACTGTTCAGGGCAAAATATGAGCATTTTGCAGTTGATTCTGAATTTTTATTTTTATTTGCAAATCAGAAAAAAATGAAGCGGCGAATCCGTTAACCAAGAAATTAAATTGGTGTGGCCTTAAGTTTGGTTTAACCTTGAAGCCACGTTTTTCCATGCCTCAAGAAAATTTATTGAGTTTCACATCATATGTAGAAAGTCAGCTGCTTGTTTTATTTACTCTGTGCCACTTTTCCTGCTGTTTTGTCTCCTATTTTGTTTTCCGTTGCAATAGCTCATTCTGTTTAACAGGTAAAATTACGCCTCCCCAAAAAAATCTTTCACTTTGACCTTTGTCTTTCACACAAAGATCAAGGCTACAGATTTTGACAGGATTTTTCTTGCTACACTTCCCAGCAGATGAATGATTCGGAGGACGATGTTGTTCCAGAGGAAATTTCTCCTCCGACCCTCAAGAGAGTAAGGCATTTTCTCCGCACAGACTAAAAAGATCTACTTCTGGTGCTTTTTTCTAAGGTTTTCGTCACTGCATGGCTTTGTTGGTGATTGACAGCTCTGGTGGCCGGCCCGGCTTATAGTGGGAGGAGCACCACACTGCAATATTTCCGCATCACTCTTGATCATATTAGGGGCTCAAAACGGTCTCACATAGCTGTTCTAGCACAAAATGGTCTCACATAGCTGTTTTGTCATAAAAGTGTCTCACATAGCTGTTCTGGCACAAAACTGTCTCACTCAACATAATCTTTATTTCCAAAGCAATTTGACCTCAGTTTTCCTACCTTTATTAATGTAATGTTTCATGTGTGAAGCAGTGCAAGTGTTTTAAGGAAAATACAGAGCTATGTGATAGGTTTTGAGTCCCAGTAGATTTCACAATAACCACCCAAGGCTGCTTTAAGTCTAACACTTATAACAGAACACAATGAGTGTATACGGACACTGTGACAATGTTAAATGATTTATTTGGCAAAATGTTTAATCAAAGTATCTGTTATGGTGATAAATGCCAATAGATGTTATGCCTTACATCGGAGAAAACAAAGAAAATCATATTCTTAATTAAGAATCATTCATACATACGCTTTTAAATTGGTGTTGCTGTTTTAGAAAATCTAACCCTCTTTTCGCTAACTTTTCCAAAAGCATCACAACACACATATCAAGTTGCATGGATTAGCTCATGGTGACAGCTAAGAGGTTTCAGAAATTGTCATGTTATATTTCTCCTCAGTCTTTAAAAACAGTCCTTCAGATTTCATTCATAAATCATCCTGAAATTCCATGCCCACATTTTTTCTTAGTCCCTAAAACTACATGATACTTTATATTTCACAAGCACTACCATGCAGCAGATATCACACCTCATGCCACTATGATGATAAAAAGCTTAAATATGTCTTGTCATTGATGTCACTTAAGCCTGTGTTCTTTGGTGTTCTGTTTTAGATCTTTAAGCCAAGGGAACAGCTGATGTCTCGGGCCAACAGTCTGAAGAAAGCTGTCAGGTCTATTATAGAGCACACAGAGAGGGGTAAGTCTGATACATTTTAGGTACTAATATACACAGTCTGTAAATCCATGATAAAAATCTTTTTCCAGCACATCTGCAGCCTGGTGTAGGTAACAATAAATATTACCTGTGGACTCCAGGAAGAATAGTGGTCAGTTGAACACTAATGGAGATCTAATAAAACACAAACAAACAAACCTGTACCAGACACGCACCACTAAAAATTCAGTAAGTATGGATCATACTAAAAACTGTTCAGAAACCATTGATTTTGTGAACTAAATAAATGTGATGAGTAATCAAGTCAACTTAAGAGGATTTTCCTGACAATGAGAGTTTATAAAAGAAGTGTCAATTAGCAGGTCATCAACCTATTATAATATCAAGAACAAAAATGTAGCAGCCATCATTTCTTTTACACTTCATAGGTGGTAATAGTCAAGGCAGCAAATTAAACTCCACATACACCTAGTATAGCGTACACGGACCAGGGCTGGTAGACATCAGAAATACTACACAGCTCCAATTTTATCTGCACTAACTACATAAGCAGGTGTTATTTCCAGCCCTGCATTTGTAGTGTACACTACTAGTATGACAAAGAGACCTGATGCATAATTTCTGTTGCACAGCTGTTGATGAACAGAATGCCCAAACAAAAGAGCACAAGGAGGAGGCGTCATCAGGTCCGCCCACCTCCCCACCCACCACATCTGCTGCTATCGCTCCCACCAAACCGCCGTTTGTCTTCACCGTGGCGCCCGACGAGCCGTCCAGCCCGCTCGCACCGCTGGCCACCATGGAGAACTCCTCCCCGGAGTCCACTGAGGAGGGGCCTGTTGCTGGGGCAACCAGCGTCCAACCAGCATCACCCATCGTCTTCTCCACAAGTGAAGGTAGGTCACGTTTTTTAATATCTTTTGATGTTGCAGTTTCACATTGTAGGGATTGGAATGTTTTCAGAGGTATTCTTTATTTGCAAAACAGACGCTCTTCAGTCCAGTTTCTTCTGTTTAGCAATGTAAAATCCCAATTGTATACACATGTAGCTACACTGTAGGCTAGCTACGCACAGATCCAGAGGTCACAGGTTTGATTCCTTGCATTCTTGGCTAGACGTTTTGTCCTTGGGAAAGGCACTTTTCTCCCTCCTCTCAGGTGTAAAATGGGTACCTGACTTTGGTTGAGGAGGTAAAAGACAGCGGAAGGAGAGGGATGGGCTCTGTCTTCCAAAACTGTGCCCCAGACACAGTGGATTATTAACCCACTGCCCCTATGGCCTGAAAAAGCCTACTCTAGTATGGTACTACTTTTACCTTTTACCTTATTATCGTTTCCATATACATATACTTCTTCTTCTTCTCCTTAATGCCCAACATCATAGTAATGATGGCTCTGGCATGTTACTGCATGCACAAGTTAGTGCTTACTACATTTTAACTCTTATGCCTTATGTGTGTCTGCATGTCTCTGTTCTATAGTGTCAGAGGAAGCCCGTGAGAGGAGTGACACAGTGTGCAGCCTGCGCAGCCCTCCCCCTCCCCGGTACCCATACTACTCAGGTTACACCGGCTTACGGGGCAGGTTACAGGTCTCAGGTCAGACATGTCTCCTTACTGGCGGTGTGAAAGGGATGGCTGTGTAAGGGATGCCGGGCATGGAAGTATTGTTTTGGGTGACTGGTCTCTGAGTTTAGTTTGTCAGGACAGCACATGGGTGGGGGAAAGATTGACAGGCATAAGGACAGGAAGTCAAAAGGTCAGACAAGAAATTCAGCTTAAAAACCAGACAGGAAAATGGGCTGAAATTGTCAGGAGAGCTAGTAGGTTGACAGCATGTTGGTGGAATATTGAAAGGACAGTATCGGTACTGAGTATCGGTACACAGCTCTAGGCTCGATACAAGAATTGAAACAAGATGAGCTAGAAGGAAAATTGAAATTGTGTTTACTACCAAATCTCAATACAGTGGCAGGGGACAGAAGACTACAAAATAAGTCTAAAATAATGTGAAACAAAAATGATACAGGGAAACTGAAACAGTGACTTCAAACAGGTTTCCTATTCTTTGTAAGTTACCGGAACTGTACAGTAAGTAACCAGCGGCTCTTGTCTTCCTACCAGATAAAGAAGCTCTTGCCCAGGAGAGAAGAGTGAGTAAAGGCAGCACCTTGAGTCAGGGTATGCCTGACACCTCCAAGTCTCTACAGAACATCGACAGGGCCACCAGCAGACAGGCCGTATCACAACTCCCAGGTAAGGCCTTGGGAAAAATGTTGTGTTTCCTGTTTCAGTCCTGAAAAATTAGAGTTGGTACATAGAGATTATCTTTTTTTTAGACTTTGGTGATCTCTACTGGCCCAACTTAAACAATACAGTTTAACAAAAAAAACAAGGTAAAACTTGTATAAGGACGCTAGATTATATTTTCAAAGTCAATGTTTGAAAATGATTGTACAATGTTTCATCATGCAGGGATGGGCTCCGCCTTCCAATACCCTGCCCTAGACATAACCTACTGCCCCTACAGTCTGAAAAAGGGCATGGGACTACGTGTACATGTACCTTTTTCTTTACTACAGAAAGGGCTCAAAGTCTCTGCATAGCTCCAGTTTTACCTTCAAGTTGACAGACTGTTTGTTCCATGTTGTGCAGGTATTCGCAGCTCCATTGCCAGTAGTATAGCGGGTGGCTGCCTGGTGAGTAAGGTGCTGCTGGCCAATGCAGACGCCCTGTGTGCTGCAGCCTCCCCCCTCATGGACCCAGAAACTGCCTCCCTGTAAGTACACAACAGTCCATGTCATCCTTAAGCTCCACCCACCAGTCAAAATGTAAAAATATGCAAATTTCTCCAAGACATGCTCTCTCATTGGTCAAATTGATAATTGGCACTCTCACTGATGGATGGACAGTCACCCAGTCAGGGTACATCTATTACATTTACTGTATTCTTTTTGCTTTTTGGCAGTACCTCAGAAGCGAAGGCATTTTTCTTCATGTACATGTAATTGAAGGCAGCTACATGAACAGTGATGGTCTCTCAAACTCTCCTGACATTTCCTCCTAGTAGCCATTTTATCCTATGGTAGAGCTCCACAACAACATGCAGAAGTAAGATTTCTTTTGTATTAGTTTTCAGCTGTCATCTTTCTTCCAAGTATTGCCTTTTCAGTGATACCCAAATTAGTGCCACCCAAAACAATACTTCCAACCGCTTGAAGCAGTGAGCTTGACACTCATAAAGCATTGGCTAAACACGGAGGCCATGTGTGTGTGACACCATGACAAATCAACTTGCCTGCTACCCCAGGCCCTTTGTCCTCTACAGGGAGGGGTATAGGGAAAAGTGCGTCATGAACAACTACTTCGGGATCGGCCTGGACGCCAAGATCACCCTGGAGTTCCACAACAAACGGGAGGAGCATCCGGTCAAGTTCCGCAGTCGCACGCGCAACTTCATGTGGTATGGCATGCTGGGAGGAAGGGAGATTCTACAGAGAACGTACCGCAGTCTGGAACAGAGGATACAGCTAGAGGTACCGTTGAAATAACCTGACTACATCACTCTTTTAGCAGCCCTTCCAGCTGGTCAGGTCCCTAGCCTGACTACATCACGCTTCTAGTTCCACTAGCTAGGCCCCTAGCCTGACTACATCATGCTTCTAGCAGCCCTTCCACTGGCTAGGCCCCTAGCCTGACTACATCACGCTTCTAGCAGCCCTTCCACTGGTCAGCCCCCGGGTAGCCTGACTACATCACACTTCTAGTAGCCCTTCCACAAGCCCCTAGCCTGACTACATCACACAGACAACTAGAGTTCCACGATCTCATACCTTCGCCAAATGATGTTAGCCTTTATAAATAAGAAATATACTAATCACCCTGATTATGCAGATAGGATCCTCGATTGCATGAATTATATCAGTCTGTTGATCATATTCTACACCAAAAGACAGTCTTATCTTAACAAAGAATGCCATTATAGCATTTCCTCATATATTATGCAAATGTGGTCCTTATTTGAATAAGTTATGTTCACCTTCACTTAACTTTCAAACATCCCAAGTATGAAATTTCAGGCAGTTACCACTATGCAATTATAACATTTTCTCATTAATTATGCAAATTAAGTCTTCATTTGCATAATCGATATTTGCCTGTGTTTTTCTCGTTCTTAATAACATATGTTACAAGCTTGAACTTCCTATCATGGTATGCAGCTGATTTATAGAATTTCCTCATTAATTATGCAAATTACATCAATATTTGCATAATTGTAATATCATTATGTCAAGCATCACTCAAGCTACCTACATACCAAAAATCACGATGATCCATCAATCGGTTCTTGAGTTATCCTCTTTTAAACATTTGTCCTTTAAACCCCCCTGCAGTTCTAGAGCAAGCAACTAGGGGGCTCAAACTCATGTCACTTCATCCCCAGCACAAGAGCTACCTGCCATCTAAATTTCGTCACCCTAGCATGTCTGGATCATGAGATATCAAAACCGGAAGTTCAGCTGCAGTACCATGACAAGTCGCCAGGGGGCCCAAAATCTAATCATTTTGAGGTCTCATCAAGACCTACCCACCTACCAAATATCAAGATAATCCATCTAAGCTTTCTCGAGTTATGCTGTTGACAGACAGACACACACACACACACATACACGAACGCCTCTGAAAACATAACCTTCTTGGCGAAGGTAATGATTGCATGAATCCTTGACAATGTTATTAAAAGAAATCATCAATGCAAGTGAAGTCAGGTTGCATTGTAAAACAAGACTGATTATTTTTAATGCTTATTGTTACTTGTCTGTCTTTGTTCACAGTGTGATGGACAGAGAATCCCTCTACCCAGTCTACAGGGAATAGTGGTGCTGAACATACCCAGGTAACTATTATATCTCAAACCTTCTCTCCTCGGGCTTTCTTTAACATGACTTAATAAAGTTCTAAAAACCCTGCCTCTGGACTAAGAAGTTGGGAGGTTGAATCTCAACAGTTGTTGCTCACTCGACTTGCACACTACTGAAAAGGGTTGCAGTTCCTATGACAGAATGTTAAGCCGTACGTGGTCCGCTCTTCTGTGTAATTGAAAAGAGCTTGGACAATTTCCCTGGTACAATGAAATATATTGTCTTGTCATGACCAGTGAAAGTGTAGCTCTTCAATTAGCTTATTGGTTTGAGATCACTTTTGTTTTACAAATCCCACACATACAACAGCTACATTTTGTACCAGCATAGTTCTTTAGTTATAGCCTTCATATCTAAAATGCTCAATCTTCCCACAGTTTTGGAGGAGGTGCCAACTTCTGGGGAGGGGTCAAGGAGGACGATGTAAGTTCTCTTCCTACACGATTGTACCAGGAACTTCCTACTTCTTCCAAGTCACTTTCCATGTTTGCCTTCAATGTTACAGTGTATATCTGCTACAGATGAAATACTATTCTGTACTGTCATTGCAGAATTTCGTGGCGCCGTCGTTTGATGACAAGGTTCTGGAGGTGGTTGCGGTGTTCAGCAGCACACAGATGGCGTTCTCCCGCGTCATGAACCTCCAGCACCACCGCATCGTGCAGTGTCGCACCATCAAGATCACCATCCAGGGCAGTGAGTCCGTGCCCGTACAGGTGGACGGCGAGGCCTGGATGCAGCCGCCCGGATACATCCGCATTGTCCACAAGAACCGCGCTCAGATGCTCACCAGGGACAGGGTAGGGAGGAACATTCTTACAACTTACAACTATCATCTACTCAGGGTTTGTGTGTCTGTTTGTATGAACAGAGTACAAAGGTTGATAGCATGTGTGTGTGTGGAAAAGATTGACAGGCAGAATGACATTCTACAGGGTAGGCAGAAACATGCTCACCACAACTATCATCACAGGGTTTGTGTGTCTATAAGGACAGAGTACATACTTTAGGTTGACAGCACATGGGTGTGGGAAGATTGACAGAATGACAAGGTCAGACATAGGAAACATTGTGAACTTGAATGTCTCAAAAATTCAAGCTTATCTCTGTTGAAGTATGTCAGGCAAACATGTTGTGAGATTGACTATGCTGTCTGGTTATTCTCTGATAAATTTGTTCTTTCCCCAGGCCTTTGAGAAGACCCTGATGTCCTGGACAGACAAGCAGAAGTTTGAGAAGATGATCCAGGGTCCCCTCATCAGTAACGAGGAGACGGCTGTGCTGGCTCCATTTGTCGACGCCTCTGTAGCTCTCATCAGATGGTGAGCCTGTCACAGTAATCCTGTATGTTGAATATTGTAGAAATAGCAAAAAGGAAAAAATGTGTGAAGCTGTATTTTTTTTCTTTTTTGAAAGAAGTATATTCATTCCAAGTGGCCAGCTTGAAGAGGTGGTCACCTTGACAGGTTTGACTGTACTTCCCTAAAGTCTGGAAACTCTAACATGTTGTCTGTTTTTATGTGTGCAGTATCAGGGTGCTGCACACCCACCACCGTGACCAGGTACAGGAGCTGATCCCAGTCTTCATGCAGACGTCCACGTGTGTGGACAAGGTCTACTCTCAGGGCAGGCTGGCAGATGTAAGTCTGGGCTTCCTACTCTTACATGTACATGTAGATCTAGCCTTTCATTCTATGTTTTTTGCTCAATGGTCACCACGTAACAAGACACAAAGGCCGTTTCAAAGCATGACCTGAAGGCCACCCAATGGTTACATAGGACTAAAACAGCATCACTTCTCCCTTGGTCAGATACATCACGATGCAATTTAAGCACTAAATAAAAGTACTGCGAGTATAAAGTGATTTACAGCACATTGTATGTTCTTGGAATTTCTCCAGCTGGTTACTAAAAAGGAGGCAGCCGACATGATTACGAGCACGGCGTGCCTGTACGGCGGCGTGGGGCAGGTCATCGGCAGCATCGACAACATGGATGAGGACCTGGAGCGGAAGCTGGTTCACGCGCTGAATCTGGTGGACCAGGAGCTGCGGCGTGTGGAGCAGGTGCCCAGTCTGGCGGCCATGGCGCTGCAGGGTTCCGCCGCCAGTCCCGTGGAGTACGCCTCGCCGCCGGCCCCCAGCAGGCCGCAGCACTCCCGGTCCGCGGGACATGTCTCTGCCTTGCTGGGCCTGCCTGTACAGCCTTCTGACGAGGAGGTAAGGCACACCTTGTTTCCCGGGTTGCGCCAAAAACTAGATTATTCATCAATATCTCAGGTTGTTTATGTTAGAAGGCAAGCCAGGCCACCTGTTAAGATTAAAATATCACTCAACATGCTGGCTGAGGTAGGAAGCTGTAAGCTGGACCGCTGTAAACATGAAAAAGGTTGATTTGTATGCAAAAAAAATGTTTATTATCAATTAAGTTGCATGCCAGAAAACCTCAGGCGTCTAATAAGTCTCCCACAGGAAACATGACCTTTTGACCTGTCGTTCTGCCTGGCAATCCTCACCCACCCAATGACATGTGCTGTCAACCTACTCTGCCCAGATACACAAACTCACAGCTCAGCCACCCAAAACAATACTACCTTACCCAGGAATAAAACATTGACTTTCTCTGTCTAGTACCAAAGTGATTATGGGACATCCCCCGTACCCAAGCAACGAACCAAGAGCTCCGGGAAGTTTGGCCTTGTCCGTAAACTCAGGAAGTCTAAAACCAAGGACAAGGAAAGGGAGAAGGAGAGAGAAGAGTCCTCCATGAAGGAGAGTGTCGGCAGTATGTCTGGTGTTTCTACAAGTAAGTCTTCTAGGTTATTCTAGGTTTCAACAGTTTCTGCTAAGTTTTAAGCCATATTTTGTATCTTTGATTCTAAATTTGCTGCTATCTTTAAGCCATTATGGTAATACTATCTCTGGTTCTGTATTTTCTGCTACACGTATGTTTTAGCCATTATCCTATCTGTGATTCTGCTATTTTCAAGCCATTGTGACATCTGATACTAATTTTACTGCTAGTTTTTAGCCATTGTTGTATCTGTAAAATATATACTAGTTTAAAATTTTGTCAAATCTGTGATTGTATATCTACTTCTATTTGCATTGTGTTGTACATTCCAGTCTTTGTCGTATCTGTGATTCTAAATTGCCTGCCATTTGTATGTAACCTTGTAACCTTGTGTTGTTGCCTGTACCAGACATTCCAGTCTTCCAGTGGGGCCCAGAGGAGGTGGGGGGGTGGCTGGAGTCCCTGGCGCTCGGCGAGTACCGCGACAGCTTCATGAAGAACGACATCCGCGGCGCCGAGCTGCTCGCCCTGGAGAGGAGGGACCTCAAGGTACACAACATATCAAATTGTTGAATGTGCATGGTTGGTCATGCCCCACCTTTGCATATTTAACTCTAGGCATTGTGTACGGTACAAAAATGTACTTCAGAATATTGCATTGCCCTACAAATCAAGGAATCATGCTTTGTCTAAGGTCACTCGCTTAAATTTTTTGGTTTTTATTCATCTACGAGATTTACAACATTTGTGGAAAGATGAGACATGGAAGGTGACCATCACTGTTTCAAGATGGTCAACCTAACTAAGGAGGTTAAAGATCAACCACCTTGCCCAAACCACAAGACCATCCTTGGCTATCTTTAAAATCTCTTCTTGTTGTTTTCAGGACCTGGGTGTGAGGAAGGTGGGACATGTGAAGAGAATCCTTCAGGCTGTCAAAGACCTACAGATCAGATAGTGGCTGACTCGTCTGCTACAAGCACTGCAATATACTCAACATTCCACATCATGGTCTCATTCTGTGTCTCTGTCCACTCAGCAGGGACCCCTGTCACGTCGTGCCGGTACTGCATGTAATCATAACACTACGTAGGTTTTTTAAGTTACCCATGTCCAGACCAGGGCAGTGTGTAACAATGGCTGTTGTTGATTTGTCACAAGTTTGCATGAATATCTGTCACATTTCGTTCAGTGTCATTCTTCAGATTGAAGTTATCAAGACTCTGGCATTCTAGGAGTAAACTTAAGGAAATACATGTATCTTGCTTGCTGGTGCTGCCTTACCACTCCTTAGGCCAAACCAATTTAATTTGTAGGTTCTCAGATTTTGGCAGGAATCAATATAGCAGGCGGGCCAAAAAAACAGTTCTGGGCAACCTGTGATAGAACTTTTAATCAAATCACTGCATTGATAAATGGAAAAACAGGAGGTGGTTGGTACCAAATTGTCAGCATTTTGGGGTTTATTCAGAACCTAAAGGGTACAGATTTTTTTTTTGTTCATTTGTTTGCAAATAAAAAAAGGAAAATCCGAGAACCAACAAGTGAAACTGCTGCGGCCTTATGTTCCTATGAAATGTGACAGATAGAATTTGAGTGTGCATGACGTCTAGACAACAGCCAATGTTGCATGCATATGTAATGTCCTTATCATTTCTGACTGGCATATTCATCATCCAAAACATCCGACAACCAAGAAGATCTAAATTCTTTGGACTTGATGAGCAATATTTGGTACATCAGTCAAGTCGTAATGATAAATATGTGTATTTAAACACTGAACCTTTTTTGAGGTTGTTTCCATCAAAAAGCTGGCTTTCACCACCAACTGGTGCTTGTTACTTTTCTGAAGTCCCAATTCTTGTCTGGATAAATTGTGCACATGTTTCAACAAATGATATGTGTTGAGTATGGAAGAGTCCTCTAGATCTAGTCTGCATATTTTGTGCCTAGTCACAAGCCTGTGCTGATTTCATTATAAAGAATGGGAATGTGGAAAGTACATGTTGTATTCAGTGTTTATTACTTAAAATCATTATATGTTTGTCTCTGTACACTCAGCAGAGACCCCTGTCATGTTGTTCCGGTACTACCGGCACATGTATTTATAACCTAAATATTGTAGATTTCTGAAGTTACCCATATTCAGATTATTGTTGTCACTATTATGTACCTGGCTATCTATTAACAGAAAACAAGTGTATTTTGCCTTTGTTTTAAATTGGTAAACAAGAGCCCTGTTTTGATTCTGTCAAGGTGTCACCAAACAAGTTGGCCTAAAAGCTACAGTTGGCTACAGTTGCAATATTCAAGTATGGTAGCCATCAACAAAGTGGTTGGCAATGGCTGGAACTTTATATATCTAAAGGATTATGATGATTGTACAAGTACATGTAGGTGTTTGTAGTTGAGAAAACATGATGTTGTTCGAAGTACATGACATGGTACCAGTATGTCTTTTTCCACTGTAGGCAACTTTTGATAGAGACAATAATTTTGATGCCTTGTATAATATTAACACTGCTCTCCGAGAAATAGTTAGTGTGTAATATTTGTGGATATACTATGTCATGTATAAATATTGTGACATGTATTGAAATATGGACGTGTTTGATGTAGAATGGCACAAAATTCCTATTTGTGCCTCATGTTATTTCTCTAGTGGTAAAAGATCCTGCTCGTTGCCAGGAATACTAAAGACTTCTTTTTTACAATTTGGTAGGCTAACTTGAAAATGATTTGTGTTCTAGAATGGAGGTTGAAAAGAAAGCAGGGTTAGTCAGCTTTGATGTTTTGTACTTTTGTATTAGAGAGCAGCAAAGAGCAACAAAAGTGACAGTTACTGGAGTTCTGACAAGCAAATTGTCAGGAAAAATGTCCTGGCAAATGTTAAGTTATCCCAGATTTTTTATTTCAAACACTAAAACTTGATTCAGCAATTTTCATCCCTAAATAAGAAATACATTTCATTTCCAACTTCTGTAGGTTTTGAGTACAAAACTTTGGAATTGGGTTAAGCAGGCTGTGACAGCCAACCTCCGACAAGGAGCTTTTCTGTAACAGGACAGCTAAATTTTTCAGGAAACATGCAGGACTATCCCAGAAATGCCCTCAGTTTGCAATTGTACAAGGATGACACATTGATGTTATGTATCTTTAATGGTGGAATCACTAAATCTCTACAATAATGAGAGTGTTAGTTGTACAGTGCCCAGTCAGATGCAATATCTTTCTCTCCCTTTTAGTGCAATGTCCAAACTCTTGTTATTGGCTAGATGCCCAGATGTCCTCACATTTTCCCCAATCACAGGCAATATTACAATCAAAACCCAATCAGCACGACCCTCAACTGGTACTCAGTCGAGTGTAGTAACTGTTGTAATCTCCAAGCAGATACATGGCTTCTTCATTGCTCATTGATATGAATGTTGTTGTTGTTTTCTACCTTAACACTTCACATATTATTAGAAATGCACTGAGGAGGAGCAAATCCTTTCAAACAAGAAATTTGACATTTCATACTTACAATGTACAGAAAGTACTTTGTATTTTCAAGATTCAAGATCTTTATTGAACTTTTGCAGTGGACAACTTTCGCCGCCACTGTGTGTTTCATGATCCTCAAGTCATCCTATTTCCTTTGTCTGACCTTTTGACTTCCATCATTCTGCCAGTCAATCATCCTCCGACCCATGTGCTGTCATTGTGTTTTCGAGTTCACCCCATTTCCTGTGACTGACCTTTTGACCATGTGCTGGAAACCTACATGCACTCTGTCTGGACAAACAGACACACAAACCCACAGCTCAAATCCAGCAACAATTTTATAGACAAAAGTTACTGCTTGGAGATTACATCTGTTACTTTCACGTACACCTGTTTAAGAAATAACACACATTTTACATTAATTGGAATTAACAATTGGAAAATGGCATCTTTCTCATCAGGGAACATTTTACTTGCATTCTTTTATCCAATATAAGTAAATGCACAAGTAAGTGCCCAGAATTCAGTAGCTAGGGTGGTGACATATGTTGTTTATGATGAAGATTTCTTCATTTTTTCTTTTATTTATGAGAAGAAGAAACCATAAAGTCTTTTATAAAATGGAAACGGTAGCTAGTAAGCGTCCATGTTTTTGTAGGAAGAGAGATACTGCCAAAAGGTACATTTTTGTATCTACTGAGTGCAAGAATTATTGTATGTAATGTTTTGTGATCACACAAAAGCCTCTGCATCATTATACAGATTATATTTTGCATTATATAACAATATAGACCTCTTTCCTTAGGTATCGCTATACTACATAGTGAAGCCTTGTTTGAATGATTTTGTTTTAAAAAATAGTGATGTGTGTACATTGGAGTACTAGTTAAATACAAAGTAACATTTGTGTATGGAAGACAATACTCCATCCAAATCTACGTATCCGTATGAAAAAAGAAGGATTCACTTAAATATGTGCAATCACAAAGTGTCCAGAACAGCAGTGTATAGAGCTGTGTTATTCCTCGTCAAAACTGTTTAAAAATTAGCTGCAGTCATATCCTAATGGGTTGTGTAAGGCTGCACATTTGGCTGAATATTTATTTTCAAAGAGATATGTTTCAAATGCAAATGTATGTTTTTATAAAGCAGCTTCCCTTTCTGCTGTCAGTATCAGGCCACAGCAATTTAATTTGTTGGTTCTCTGATTTTTCCAGTTGGGATGGAAGTGGTAAGAGACCATCTGGCTATCTCTAGTAATCTTGTACAGCTTTTCAATGTATAGATGTTCATGGACCAATGTAGATAGTTCATGTCAAGTCCTCATCTTGTGCCTGTGTAAAAACTGCCTGACGTCAGTGCAAAAATAATCAGTTTTGTAAACTTCCCATCTAAAAAATATTTGCACCCATGCAGAAATCTTAAAATAAGTGTGGGTCTGACCACCTTGGTTTGACTGGCTTTATTTGAAACCTAGCAAAATCTCACAAAAAATTGTTGGTGAATGATTAGAAAGGTAAATATTTTAGGCTAGTACATTTGTAATCCAGACATATGTTCATTCTGTTATAAGAAGAAAGTATGTTGTACTGTAACACTCTATATTTTTGTACTTTTAAGATTATTTATTTCAGTTTCTTAAGTGATGTTAGACATTTTAAGCTGGTCGTCCAAGATACAGTACTTTCGTATAAAGGTAAAGTTTCAACAAAGTACTTATCTTTACATGTGCATGTAACGTTAGGTACCAAAAGATTTTTATAACATTTTTGCTGGTTGGCTGAATCCAGCCAATTACACTGATACCAAGCAAACCAAGACAAAACTGTAAGCAAAGGTCTGATTGGTGGATTAGACAATACCAGCTCCTCTAATTGGCTGCCATGACTTTTACAGTGTCTTAGAATTCAGGATAGATTGTGTGCTTGATTTACCTACAGGGTTCTAATTCTGTACTTTTTTAGATACCAACACTTGAAGGAAAAGAAGCCTTGTGGCATATTATGATGTCCATGCTGCTTGATTAATCACATTTCTCTACAGTTTAGCCTTTGTGTTCAAAGACTACCTTCTCTTCCCAGCTTGCTTGAATTTATACCCCTGAGTATACAATCAGGATCTCTACCAGCAGAGTATCCAATCAGAGTTCCTGTTAACAACGACTCCAATCAGGATCTCGACCATTTGAATTGCAGATTCTACCAGATCAGAGTCTGTTCCTTGACAAAACTGTTACATCGGTAACTAAAAGCTCCCCCTCTCCCATTGTGTATCATGGTGCGGCCCAAACTTGTTCTTACCAGAAAAGTGTTGTATTGTCTCACAAGACCTGGGAGTAGATGGTAGCTTGTACCCAAAGGCTAAAAACTTAAAGATCAAGGTGTTTCTACCTGTAATAACTTCAGTCTTGACGTGTTCACTGAAGACATTGTATAATTAGGTATGTTTGTAGGAAAAGGAACTTTGTATGGACTTTGTACTACCGGTATATGTGTCAGTTTGTACAGCGTTTCATATTTGTTACAACTGTCAAGTTGTGAGGAAGGCCACTTCGGAGAGGCCACTCTTGTTGTGTAACGTTATGTTCAAAATACATCTTTGTGAAGAAAAAAGAGGAAAGAGGGGGAAAATGACAAAAGAGACGTTTCTCTGGCACAAATATGAAATAAAGCTGTATTCCGGGACTTAAAGATGGAAAAGCGTCTTGAATCTCTGCCTCGTTCTTTTCTTACGAAGTTTGTAATTTTGTCTCACATTCTATGCTTCCAGATACCAATAGCTCGCACATGCACACATCCAAAATGAAGTTACTGTAAATTATGAAACTTTTGCCATGTGTTTTAAAACTCCAGGAAACCCTCTCTTTCCCCCTATTACAAAATAAAATACCACCCTGAAAGTTTCATGATTTACAGTTTTTAGCCATATGATTTAGTCCTTGATTTAGCCAAGTCTCCAGTTTAGTATTTTCAATTTTTGTGAACAAAAATTACATTTTTCGTTGGGAAGCATTCTAAATCTAAGCGATTTAGAATGCTTCCTAAGCCCTGAACTAACTCCTAGAAGTAATAGAAGTAATACATGTATCTGCACTGGGGACATTTGAATTTCCCGGGTCCTGCGCAATGCCTCATGGGGCGTATCCTGCAATGAGGCGAAACCATTATAGCTAAGAGGGGATAAATTTTTCTCTTTATGTGAAAACAAATAAAAGTGTTGTATCAATCATTAGCTATAACTGATTCATTAAAATAAAATAATTTGCATATTATTAGTGGTAAAAATTCACCTATATGTTATCTTCTGATAAATATTTTGAATTGATTATTTTTGGACTCCGACCCCCTACAAAAAGTGTTACCTTCCTGACTGAGCAAGTTCCAAAGTTCACCGATGCCGTGACTTTAGCATTTATCGAAAGTTTTGTAGTGTAGTTTTACGTGCCCTTTGTCTACCTGTGACGATGTGATATTTGCACGGTGGGTGGAGCACTGTCTGGTGTCACGGACAGGAAGAATTTTCAACCAGAAAACCTCCTTGTTGAGAGTGAGTACTTTATTTTTATGAAAATCTAGGCGTAACTTGTGGGCTTTGTGTTTTGTTCTCGTCCGTTCTTCTTGCTTCCCGGTGGGACGTCTTGACTTCCAGGGCGTATCCCGGACGAGAAGAATTATCTGTATATCTAGATCTACTCTGTTTGTACGTAATACTGTATCTAGTAGCAATGCCACAGCTAGAAAGGAAAGGCATGTAGTATAGACGCCCGTAGCTTTCTCCAGCTCGTGTTTCACACGACCATGAAGAAAGGGGCGGTATTAAAATTATTTATTTCGTGCGAGGGGGAGTAGAGTTGAAAATACAGATTTGCAGGGGCTGAAGAAATAACATAGTACAGCTATAGTAAACAGGAAAATTATGTTCAGCTGGAAAGATATAAACAGGACAGGATATATTTATTTGTAAACACTCTTCAGCAAACATACACAGATTTACTGACATAAACCGTTATCAAAATTATGAGTTAAAAATTAACAAGACTTACGAACAGTCACAAGATTGTTATCTGACATTCTACCTGAGATCAAACTATCCAAATGTCAACTTCCTAGCCTGGTATCCACCCAATTCTAGCTCTGGTTTTGCCTTCTGTGTGCTTCCTTGCTGAAGTCAACCACTCAGGTTAACAGAAAATTGCTTGACATAATTTTAAATATCACTTGTAACCACTAGGCCAAAAGGTCCAGAACCCTTCAGGACGAGTCAGTTGGTAGCACTGTTACACAACGTTCAATCCCAGTTCCAAGTGGAATGAGACATTTTTGATACCCGAAATTAATCGAGTAAGTCTCAGCACCAGTATGCATTGAAGCATGTCTATTTACTGTAACTCTATCTCACTCCTCACTCAGTATGAGTGTAACTGTGACTCTGTGAGTGAGCAAATTGGATCTAGAATGGGATCATGCTATTGGGTATCAACTTTCTGTAAATATCCCCAAATCCTGAAGGAATCCTGTTTTGGTCCTTAAAGTAGGACAAGTTTTTGAGGTCACGGGGTCACAAGAAGAATGGTTCTCTGCTGATTATATTGTTTTGTTTGTTTGTTTTTCGTAACCAGTAAACCACCTTTAGGCATGAGTCACACCAATTTTGTACAATAGTAAGTACAAGCTGCATAAGACTAGTCTGTAAGGTTTGAAACACACACAATTTTGGGAATGGCATGTCAGAGGACCCCTTCTCTTTTCAAGTGTGGTGGGATCTTGACTTTAGCCAAAATAATAACATGCTTGAAGTGAGGCTTTCCTCAAACACAGGACCTCCAGGTTACCGTCGTTTTGGAGAGGACGTCCCTAAATGAAGCTAGGTACTAATTTTTACCTGATTCAAGTGAGGAAATTAGCTAGGTGTTACTGTAAGTGCCTTTCCCAAGGACACAGCATTGGAGCCTACCAGGGATTTGAACTCTGAACCTTTAGTTTAACTTTAAAGTCAATAATAGACCACCTTGCTACCCAGGTCATTGCGTATAAACATGATTTTCAAGTTGCCAAGAATGAAAAAAAAACAGGTGGTCCAAAAGTTTGTTGTATAAACCATGTACTTGGCAACAGCACAGAAGAATAACATCAACCTAGAAATGCATTTTAGTTCTATAGCTTCCGCCTGGAGTACATTTACATTGTTTTCAACTAACGCCCATTCAGAATTATGGCCTTAAGCCATATCAAGACTGGACGTGCTCTGAATATTTCAAAGGTATTATATGTGTTATTGTGCAGGTTCCAAATCAGGTCTTATCTAAAGTACTTAAAAATAGTTTTGTGTTGTATTATCATATCATCAAGTATACAGAGTAATTCTTAGCTGTTAGAAGACATTCTGGTTTGAACTGTAATGTGACATTTACAAGCATCGAGTTGCACATTCCTGGACAAAGACAGGAGTCAAGAAGTGCTTCAAAAACTTGGGTCCTAATTCTTTGTGCTGGAAATTACAGTTGTCCAAACTTGCTTCATGAAGTGTATTTCTGTTTCATTGAATGACTACTACATGTACAGTACCCTAAATGCTTCACATGTCCAAATGTTAGACTTACAGACTCTATAAACCACATAGAGCAGGAAGTTGGGGTAGGCTAGGGTGGGCGTGTGTTCAACACAAACAGCGGGTCCTGAAGCTTGTCCTGTCAAACATCTGGAAAGTTCAGCACCCAGGGATCAAATACTGACAGCAACTGTTACCAAGCAGATCCACGGGGATTACTGATAGTAGGAAATGTTGACAAGAGGTGCAAAAGTACCATGCCAGATGTAGTACAGGTTTACAGTATATTAGTTTCAGGTTCGGAAGTACATATTCTAAAATGTACATGTAGTACTATCTGTACAGATACAGATAGTACATGTAGTATTAAATATTGTTACCTCCACGAGGTTTACTTGAAAAAAAAAAGGTCTTTGTATGTCTCATTTGTGTTTCCACATATTTGTTTGTGGTCAGCATATTTGAAGTCTGGATGCATTTTGATGACGTTTGGTATGTGGGTAGGTTGTGGGATGACAAAGGTCAAGGTCAAATGTAGGTCTCCTGTTGGCTCTCCTTGGTACTGCAGTAGAACTTGCGTTTTTGTTTAGTCGGAGAAAGGGGTAGGGGCATTGGACCTGAGCCCTGTACAAATTTGATTTTGTTTGTCTGACAGATTGTAACCCTTGAGACTGTCCCTTTAATTCCTAAGAGGTCAGAAGTGACCTGGTAAGTACAACTTAACAAATGGCAACCATCTGTCACATAATGGTTAAAAATATTTGTATATAGTAAACTTTCTTGTAAATATTAGGTAAATTGTCTTAAGTTTAATATAAAAAGTATCTTTTTAGATAATTGATAAATTTTTAAATAAAAACAATTGAGACATGAATTATCCTTAGTAGTACTTGAGGTATGGCACTTAATCTTAAAACACCCAAATATGGACTTTGAGCTTATAACAAGCTAAGAGATTGCTATGAAACTGGTAACGAAAGAAATCTTTGATTTCCTGTGCATTGTTGGACCTTGGAAAATGTCCAGAGTCAACATCAACATTGATTGCATTTGAGCAAATAGGGCTATCTGGCTATTTATAAATGTCGTGTGACAGACCTGTGGTAGCCTGTCCCATTGTTGTATTGATTTAACTTCAATTTTAAAGGCACTGTATATTGTCTGCGTGTCACTTTGACTAAACTGTTTCCATTGAATGATTGATATGCTATATTACCGTACACTTCTTTCTCTGTCTGTAGGCAGACCCAATCTTAATTGGCTGCGCCTATGACCTTTACAATGTGCTGTCGCATTAAGTATACAAAATACAACTGTGAAATAACTACAATCAAAAAGACAAACTCATAACAATGAGAGATATACTACATTTTCCTGATGCAATGTGTACAGTACCATGATTAGAATTTAACCTTTAATGTTTTGGGTTTTGATGAATTCTATTCGTGAATGTTTTGCTTTCACATATCATTTACGGATTAAATGGATTAAGCATGTTGTCAAATACATTTATCTTCCTTTGCCCTTTAAATTATTCAGTATAAAAACTTCAACTGAAAATAATCTACTTTAAAACATAAAACTTTCACAGTCACTGTGGTTTTATTTTTTACAGGTGGCCTTTCTTTTCCACCATAATTTCATGTCACCAGGATTGGCAGGAAAATGTTGTTGTGTTACGACATTACTTTGAATTATTTCAACAGCAAATTCCAAAACACAGTGAAAGCCTCTCTTTTCCAACTTACTGTGAAATAAAGCCACCGGAAAATTTTCACACAGTTTACAGTAGCCTAGTGTGTAAGCCTGACCTACATATACATACATTATCTCTATTAGTATTATGTAAGCTGTAGCTCACACTGTCACAGGCTTCAGATTCATCCCAGAGCTGGTTGCAGATACCAGTGAGTACTTGACTAGTACTTGTGAAATGTAAAACATGGAGTTTCCTGTTGGTTCTAACCCTGGTAGGGTCAACAGAATGGTGTGTGCTTGTTTGACACATGTATACTGATCCAGCTGCACTGGCCCTAGTGTTTTGCAAGGATCAGATGATTTGAAACAATACTGTAAGTTGTGCATGAGATGTTTGCCATATTTTGTAGGAGGAAAAGGAAGACCTTCATTCTTTTTCATGTTTTTAAATTTGCAGTTCAAATAGTAAATACGTAAAAGAATTTGTGGTGTCTTCATTTTACAGTACCTCGTCACCGTAAGAACTGAGAAAATAAACAGCAAAAGTTTCATAATTTACTGTAGGATGAAGCTTTGTGGAAATCCTTCCTAAGAGTCTAAGGGTTTATATATTAGGTTTTATGGAGAGAACCTGGGTTTAGCATGCATCATTACTGTGTCTAACACAACAAAAAACGATAAAAGTAGTGTGTCCGAAAATGCCAATTTTCAAAACTTCAGTTGCAAATACCTTGGCCATACAACATAACAAAAAGCATTTTGTTCCTTTCAGCGAGCTCTTTCTGATGAGCTTAAATTGTGAATAGCTTGTAGCACCCTTGCTAACCCCCTTCCCCAGCAAAAAAATTTAAAGCTGGAGACAGTGTACCGGTACTGTGTACATGTAAAGGTGGTTCACCTTGATGGGTGCACAAACATCGAGAACATGTTAGAAATGCCTGCGGCTTTACTTTACAGGCTTGCACCCAACAACGACAGTATGGAGATCGACCAATCGGTGTTGGAGCAGCTGCCGTTGGAGCAGCGTCGGCGCCTGGTGCGGCGGATACGACAGGACCAGATCCGGGCATACCTGGAGTGGGAGAAGTCAGGCGGAGCTAAGACCACGGCTCGCAGACAGAGGAGAGAGAACAGGAGGAGAACACAGGTGGAGTTTGGGAAGGAAACAGTCTTACAGGAAGCAGTGGCCAGGTTTGATGATATTGAAGGTAAGATGAGGGACAAAAATTACAAACACTCTATTTATTGTAAGACCATACCATGTCAAATTTGCCTGCTTCATTAATGTTTCTGGTTTGCAAAAAAAAAAGAATTGTGCAGAAAGTCTTAAGGAAGCAGTGGACAGGTTTGACGACATTGAAGGTAAGATGAGGGACAGAAATCATAAATGCTATCATTTCAAGGTTCTCAGATTTTCCTGCTTCATTTTTTTCTGGTTTGCCAAAAAAAAAAGGATCATGTAATATGACTTAATGTCACATAATACAACTTTAAGCCCATTTAGTTTCATAATGCAACCTTAACTGGACATCTGGGTGTCAGCTTTGTCACCAAAGGTTTGGAAAGAACTACCAGAAACAGCTGCTACATGTTAACACTCTACACAATGTCATGGAAGTGTTGACAGCATACTACATGGTATTATAACACATACAACTCATCTGCATACTCAATTCTGTACATTCAAAGACATCTTGTACGATATACATGTGTCCAGTATTAAGTTTTGTAAGATATGTTAAGTTACTTCCGGGTATAGTACAGAAGTATACAGGCAAGTAGCTTTGGGTGGCAGAGCTATGGGTTTATGTATCTGTATGTCCAATACAGAGTAGGTTGATAGCACATGGATGGGGAAGATTGACAGCCAGAATGATAGGAAGCCAAAGGTCAGGAAGTGGAAATGGAGTAAACATGAAGGTCTCAGGAATATGGTGAGCCAGCAGGAATATGGTGGTTGACATGGGGGAATTCAGGAAGCAGATGATTGTATACAATGTACTTCCCAGATGTCTGAAATTACTGATATCTTGTCCCAGTTCTAAAGCTACTGGACAGTGGTGTGGACCCTAACACAGCGGGGTCAACTGGGGTCACCTTACTTCATCAGGTAAGACTTAGCACATTACTCAAACCACCTTACAATGATCCTTTGATATCAACAGAAAACTACATGTAGCACCAGCATTAGTCATCTTCTTTTGACACTGGCAATCTTGAAAGTAATAAGATTTGAAGCCAAACTTCTGTTATGAAATGAAATTATTTTTCTGGGTGGCTGGTTTGTGAGTCTGTTTGGACACAGTAGCTATAGGTTGACAGTACATGGGTGGGGAAGATTGACAGGCAGAATGACAGGTCCAATGATCATACACAGGAAATGGGTGACCTTGTGTCACATAAACCCAAAGTACTCACCAGGAAAAATGTAATCTCTGATTTCTTGTTAAAACTGACTTTTCCCCTCCAGTGCTGTAAGGACAACAACGTATCGACTGCTGAGATCCTGGTACAGAAAGGTGCAGGTGTCAACACACTGGACAATGACCTCTGGACACCGCTGCACATGGCCTGTGCCTACGACTGTCCTGAAATCGTCCATCTTTTACTCATGGTGAGGAAGACCAGCTTTAGCTTGTACATGAGGGTAGATCACAGATTCAACAATGTGTATCTTTCAATAACAAGAAACAGTATATACTTGAAGGTCACGAAAACATGTCCTGGATGACTGAAATCTCTAACTTGTTGTTGACCCTGACTTTCAGCACGGTGCTGACTCGTCAGTGATGGACATAGACGGTAACTTTGCCCTGGACCACGCCCCTGTAGGGTCAGAGGTCAGGCAGATCCTACACAACCACATGCAACAGAAAGGTAATGGTTCTTCACCTTATTCTCGGAATTTAGGCATGCTGTATTATATATAATATAGTAAGTTGTACTTGAATCTGAATTGAATAACCTACATTGTTGTACATGATTGTATAAACCACTTTTAAGCATAATAGTTCTACACTGGTGCATTTGGAACAGCACATACTTGGGTATAAAAGGCCACACAAGGAAAATTTTGAAATGCATTTCCTGCATTCTGGGGGGGGGGGGGAAATTTTGCTAGTAGACTAGACTAAAGCTTAGTCAAATGACATCTCTTTCCATATTTACATTTTGTATATACGGCGGTATTTGTTCATCAAAGATGACAATTGTTGTCCGTCATGAGCAGCAAAATTCTGTCAGATGACGGAAAGACAGAAGCTGGTTCCATGTTGTACATGTATCTGTCCTTGTCCAGGCCTGTCAGAGTCAGCCCTGAGTCAGATCAGACAGCGCAGCATGCAGGCCATGCTCACAGACGTACAGGGGCTCATCAAACAACGGGAGCAGCTCGATGTACCCAACGGCTTCGGAGCTACTCTGGTCAGTTCACTCACTCACTCACTCACTCACTCACTCACTCACTCACTCACTCGTTATCTTATTCATTCACAGCTCTTCTGTGTTTCATCAGATTGGTATTAGTCACTGAATAAAGTGACCCTTTTTTCACAACCAAGTGTTTTAGTCAGAAAACGTTTTGGTGACTGTCCGTCACCTAACACACATCACTGGCTGATTCTATATTCCTTGATCGATTCTATATTCCTTGATAAGTGATCTATATTGGAAAATAACATCCTTATCTAGACTTAAGCATTCCTCTATTAAGAACTGCAAGTAGCTAGTGATTTCAGAAAATTCTGTGACCATTCTGAACATATAACCATGTTGTTTGTGGTCCATCCAGCTGCACATAGCCAGTGCCAATGGTTACAGTGATGTGGTGAAGGTCCTGCTGGAGAACGGCTGTAGAGTGGACACTGTGGACGAGGACGGGTGGACGGCACTGCACGCCGCGGCCAGATACGGACATGTGAGGACAGTTCCACTGGAAATCATGAAACTTTTGTGGTGATGGAAAGGGGGGTTTTCACCATGTATTTGATTCGTGGTTGAAACAATTCTGTTATCAAAGTGTCATGAATTTTAATTGAAGGCCGTGAAAGTAAAGTCACTGAGAAGACCATGAAAATTAAACTTCACATATGAAGTAACATTTCAAAATGATCTTTCTGTATTTGTTATTTGTATGGTACAGTAACTGTTTCAGGTCAATGTAATGAACTAGAGACAGTGAAAGGATAATTGACTTTAGTTTAATTAGAATTTTAATCCTTTAATCCAGCTTAAAGTGGTGAAACAGCTGCTGAAGGCTGATGCTAACCCTCACACACAGACTTACAACGGTGCTAAACCTGCCGGTAAGATTTCTCTATATGTACACATTGTTTCTTTTCCGTAACTTGAAAAAAAAACTCTTTTAGGTGCACTATCAGTCAGTCTCAAAAGACTATGACTTTGCTGTTTAGGTGCACAGTAAGTACAAAACTGGTGAATAAAATCTGCATTAGACTAGAGTGTAAGGTTTGATTCCCTCACACCAGGAAGGACCCCTACTCTTTTCAATACAATGTAAGTGTTAGGGGGTCTGTAACGTGCTCGAGGTGTAGCTCTTCCTAAACACAGGACCTCCAACTTTCCTTCCCGTCTAAGAAGTTGTCCCTTCAACTAAAGCTAGGTACTCATTTTCACCTTAATGGAGTGAGGAAAATGCCTTTCCCAAGGGCACAAAGCTGGGGCACAAAACTTTTAAGTTATAAGTCAACCCTAAACACCTTTTTAACTGTGTTCAGATCTAGCAGCCACTGAGAGAATCGAGGAGGTTCTAAGAAAGGCAGAGCAGGATTTTAAGGAGTCTCCCACTGAGCAGGACATTGTAGCCAAGGCCTTCGAGTTTCTGGATGAAGTCAAGAGCTTCGAGCAGCTGAGGAAAGAAAAAGAAGACATCAGCGGACCTCTAGTCAGAATCAACAGCAAGATTATGTGAGATTGTCATTTTTGCTGTCATGCACCATCTTTTTGCAGGTTGAATTTCTAATTGGAAGTATTGTTTGGGGTGGCTAAGCTGTGGGTTTGTGTATCTGTTTGTTCAGACAGAGTAGGTTGGCAGCATGTGGTTTGGGAGAATTGACAGCCAGAGCTATAATGACAGGTAAAAAGGTCAGACAGAGGAAATGGGGTGAATAATCTGTCTAGGATCCAGCAGAATTCCGAGGATTGTATACATCCCGGAAGTCTGAAGTCTCCGAATTCTTGTTTGAAGCTTGAAGAAGTTAGTTAAGTAATGTACATACATGTATATATATATTCATATGTAGGAAGTACTTTCATGGTACTGACACTACATATACTAGAATTTGGAAACATTAGTGTTAAAGTTCAGTAACCATGGTGATTATGTTTCCCCAGTCGTCCCAGACACCTGTCAATCTCCAAGGAGGACAAGTTAGGGGAGGCCCAGACTCTACTGCAGGGGCTGCAGCTGACAAAGGGGGAGGGGGGCAGTCCTGTACAGGGGGACCAGGCTGTCAGGAGGAACATCACGTTTGACAAGGTGCTTCTATGAAACCTTAGCAGACCTTTTCATAGTTGTAGAGTGTTAGCTTTGTTCCAACACAAGGAAGGAACTTACCATAATTTTTGGTGAACCTCATGATCCGTTATCAGATGTACATCATGTATGATCCACTCAGTGTATCACTGTATGTTTACAATCCTGCCTCCCATGTTTGTATCAACTTGTATAGGCCATCCTGCCCTTGGTGAGTCCCACAGACGACCTGGCCACCCTGCCTGATCTAACAGAAGACATTCTGCTGAAGGAGATGCACAAGAGATACAAACGACAGCAGATTTATGTGAGTAGAACTTATCCTTTGTCTCCAAATCTTCCTATAATGTCTTTAGTGGAATCCACTAATTTTTATCAATATTTACTTCTCGGACAAAAATATTGTTTTGGATGGGGCTTGTTGAGGGTTTGTATGTTTTGGTTCCAAAGTAATGTTGTTCTACATGTAATTTGAATGCTTTTTTGTCCACAGACATATATCGGAGACATCCTTGTTGCAATAAACCCTTTTAAAGAGTTGCAGATCTATTCTTTGCCAGTAAGTACAGCTACTTCCTAACTTAGTCCATTTCCTGTGTAGTTTTCTTAGCTGACCTACCCATTCATTTTAATACTGAGGCTAGGAATGCACCAAAACAGTATTTCAGCACCAAGGACAGGGATTGGTTAATGTGGAACTCATGTTTGCATGGGTAACAGTCTTTGCAATTATGGCTCTGGTTCACTGGGAGTCTGTATACATCTTGTCATTAGCAGTTAGGATTAGAAGTGAGGTGGCAAAGATTTGGTTTCAGTTGATTGACAGGGTTATAGATTATGGTGTACATGTATACTGGATTAAATGATTGTGTCACACAATCCTATGAAATAAAATTCCATACATTGATGTTATTGAATCATGTATTTCCCCATGATAATACAATACTAACAATACAATACCATACATTCATGGATACTAGTACTCAAAACACTTCCCATATCTCCATAACATCTCCAATTTTTTATATTTCAAAAGCAAAATTGATACATGATTAGTATAATCAATCGTTGACTAAGTGACCAACTTGATATATATATTTATCAAAGTTTTTCTCCTCTTATTTCAGGCTTCAACCTTGTACAAAAACATTGTTGCAAGAAACAGCCTGCCCCCTCACATATACGGAACAGCAGATGCCATTTACCACAGTCTGGTTAATAAAAGTATGGAGAAACTCCCACAATGCTGTGTGATCAGTGGAGAGAGTGGTGCTGGGAAGACGGAGTCAGCCAAGTACATGGTGAACCAGTTCCTACGGCTGGCAGACTGTGAGGAGGGCAGACTCAACCAGAAAATAGAAGAGGTACTGTTAAGTCATTTTTTTGCAGTGGTTTCATTTCGTGATGTGAGGAAAAAGAAAATTTTGCAGCGTTTGAAGTTTCAAAATTGAAGCATTATCTGTAGTACACTACAACGGTCACGTTCATGGTAAGAGGTCCCCACAAAAACTCTGACACCACTGGAAACATTTCACGATTTACAGTATTTTGTATTTGTATTTTGTATTTTATACATGTACACTCAGTAATATTCAAGCATTCAAGTCCTTTGCAGTTACAAACACTTTTACAGTTTTAAACTAATACTTTCCTGTCTCTCCAATGCCATACAGTTATTAATTTTTGCATTATTTTAGTACATTTTTATAACGTGTTCCTCACCCTTCAGGCCAACCCTTTGCTGGAGGCTTTTGGGAATGCCCAAACCACCATGAACGACAACTCCAGCCGCTTTGCCAAGTACCTGGAGCTCATCTTCAGTAGGGAGGGCAGAGTACTGGGAGGTTTGTTTGTTTGTTTGCATAACTGGTAAACCAATGGCTGAATACAATGTGATTGATAATTTCCTAATGTTATAATATGTTCTTTGATATCTTTTCAACAATTGGCAAGTTGCACAGTCAAAAGGAATACTGCAAAGCATTACCTGATTCTGTATTCATTGATGAATTGTGTCTATTGGAAACTAGCACTCTTCTCTTGACTTGAGTGCTCCTTTAAACATACTTTTCTAGATTTACTTCACAAACTTGTCACAGTTAGTACAGAACTTGAATGAATCTCTCTCTATTTTAGCTGGGATTTCCCACTATCTGTTGGAGAAGTCCCGTGTGGTGTACCAGAACCCTGGAGAGAAGAACTTCCACATCTTCTACCTGATGTTCGCTGGACTGTCTCCAGATGAGTACAACTTGTATGGGCTGCAGGGCCCGCAGTACCACAGGTGGGAACTAGGGAGCACTCTAGGAAGCACCAGTGCAACTCTGTGTTATAACAATATGGAATTTTTAGTTCTGGGTACAAAAGTATTGTTTTGGGTGGTAGAGCTGTGGGTTCATGTCTCTGGGGTTTTTTTTTTGACTGAGTAGGTTTACAGCATGTGGGTGGGAAGAATGATGGGCAGAGGTCAAAAGGTTAGGCACATTAAATTGGTGAACTTGAAGGTCACAAAAACCCAAAATACTTCCCAGAAGTCCGTAATTTCTTCTTTTGGAAGCAAGATTTCTACAATTTCACACTGCATACACTTTGTTGCTAACAGAAGTGCTTGGAGGACAGTTTGCCGGGGCGCTACACTCCTAGGAGCATGCGGACTTTGAGTGAGTGAGTGAGTGAGTGAGTGAGTGAGTGAGTGAGTGAGTGAGTGAGTGAGTGAGTGAGTGAGTGAGTGAGTGAGTGAGTGAGTGAGTGAGTGAATGATAAAGTTGCACAAATGATGTCTCAGATACACAAAGAACTAACACAGAACTGTGCCCCCCTCCCCCCTGTAGATACTTGAACAGAAGTGGGTTTGACCTTCGGACCATGATGACCCAGAGTGCCAAGGACAGAATGGACAAGTTCAGACAAAGTCTGCAGACAGTCGGCTTCAACAAAGATGTAAGTTGGACACTATTTCTGCTATAATATGGGAAAATTTGAATTACATTATACAGTCCCATTCACAGTTCTAATACATTCACAAAAACTCAAATCACTTGCCTATGAACTTGATTGTCATGAAAACTCAGAATACCTCCTGGAAGTCTGAAATCTGTGGTTTCTTGTTTAGGATGAGGACAACTTACTGACCTGTCTGTCTGCTGTCCTGCACATCGGAGACATCCAGTTTATCCCCTCTGCTAACAATGATGTCGCTCAGATCATCAACATGGAGGTCCTCAACAAGGGTAGGGGGCCTTGCCTTTTTTTTCTTGTATTATTTTCATGAAGGTGCGATTATACCTGCACACTCCCTATTTGGGTATATCATTTACCTTATGCAGTATTTCCTATGCTTATCGCTAGGTGGCGCACGTGTACAAAGCTCTAATCGCAAAGCATCACGGGATATCATGACGTAATGACATTGTTCGCCGCCATTTTCCTTGTGCCTTCGCAGAGGGGTGCACGTTCGTTTCCCTACTCCTTATTTTCTTTCGGCGTTAGGCCCAAAAAGAAGGATAAAACGAAGTCTTCTGCCCACGAGGGCGATTCAGGTAGCCTTTCGGAGGACCAGACGGGTCGTAACGGCAAGAGAAGCGGCCTGTTTCCCAACGCTAGTGGAAAAATTATACAGGCGTGCCTGCACATGCCTCCGGACAGGAGGAAGAGGAGTCGGGTGAACGAAAAGTCCCCGCTCCTACAGCTGGAGGTTCGGAGGAAAAAGAGAAGAACTCCAACCTCATTCCGCCGCTTGGGAGCGAAATGCCCCATCGGCGTTGGCACCGGGAACATCCGCCGCTTGGGAGCGAAATGCCCCATCGGCGTTGGCACCGGGAACATCGGTCAAGGAAGGAGACGGCGCGGAGCTGCCGCCGCCCCGGCCTAAATTTCCTCCGGACTCGGAGGAGTTGGGCTCCCCGACCATGCCGAAGCTTGGTGGGGAAAAGTCTCCTCCACCCCCACCTCCATCAGAAACACCCTTCCCGCCTGGATTCGACGCTGCCTCTTTTCTTCAGTGGATCAGTTCCAGCTTGGGACTTCCTCAGGCGTCCAGTTCATCCCGTCAACCTCGGGACGTTGACGGGGCGGTAGCGGTCGACCAGCCGAGCCGGTGTAGTCGGTTCCGGCGAGAGCATCCAGGTTCTGAAGTGGAAGAGTGTTCGGAGGAAGGATAAAAATCACCTTTTTCTGACTCTGACGAAGGTAACTCCTTGTCGTTTGATAATCCCTACGATAATAACTTCAAATAAGTATTTGGAGGAACCGGTGGGCAAAATCGGTCTTGAAGACATGTTTCATATCTTGTTTCATGTCCTTGCCACACATTTCACGTCTATACTGAGTCATAGTAGAGGAAGCTGATCCCAAAAAACACCAAAGACGATTCTATCGCTTTGCAAACAGCATCGGGTTTAGAGGATGGATTGAATACAAGGTCACAACAAAGAAGAAATGTTCTTCTCTATATGTTTAATTTGTTGGAGCACTAATTCCTCATTTGAAGGGAAGATTTTCGTGAGTTATTTTTCTTCCATGTTGCCGAATTTTGAAAGGGGATTTTCCACGTTACGATCGCCATATACTAGCCCCTAAAAATCTATTCTCTGACTGTTTGGGCTGTATTTCATGGAGAAATTAGCGTTGTTTACATGAAAATAGGATTTTCAAATGCCAGCAGGGTGTCAACATTTTACCAAACACATTGATTTTGTGTAGCAAAGTGGACTATTGTTATTCAAATAGCGCCTTTTTACAACTTTTGTCAGACAATACCGATGGGCATAGTGACGCCGCTTGGCCCCCAAATCAGCAAAATTTCACGAATTAGCCAAGCTAACACAAGCAAAAGTACGAAGAGAAGACCCTACATTTGAAAATTTTTTGAGAGGCGCAGCGCCCTTGTTTCATTGCTTGGGGAGACCCCTGGATTACTAGTAGTAGTTTCTTAGACGACTTACCGATCATTGCAAGGTCGAGGGAACGATGCTTAGAGCACATTGCTATGAGCAGAGAGCTTCTAGAGCAACTCGGTTTGTTCTCAACCTGGAGAAGTCGCGGTTGGTACCGTCTCAGGTAGCGATTTTCCTAGGCCTTGTTCTCGATTCTCGTACTTTGACAATTTACCTAACCGAAGACAAGTTAGACAAGGTAGTGAGTTCTTGCCTATCACTTCTAGAACAGGAGGTGATAGGAATCAGACAGCTAGCCAGCGTGGTGGGGCTGTTAGAGTCTGCCAAGCAAGCCATTCTTCCAAGGCCCTTACTTTTCCGGGCTCTGCAACAGCTTCTCAATTTTCGACATAAAGAAGCCGAGAGAATTTTGTCTCTTTAGTCAGTCTAACCCCAGATGCAGTAAAAGATCTACAGTGGTGGATCGGTCATGTGCGCGAAGTAAAGTCTTTGTTCCGTCAAACCTCACAATTTGCACGGATGCCTCACTGGAAGGATGGGGCGCGCATTGTTATGGTCAGGAGGCAGGCGGGCGCTGGTCGCAAACAGAAGCGCGCATGCACTGTGACCAACTGACTAGAATTGAAAGCGGCCTCCCTGGCGCTAAGAAGCTTTGTGAGCGCAGATACTCAGCATGATCTGCTAAGGCTGGACAACGCAACAGCCGTTGCATATGTGAATCACGTGGGGGGAACAAGGTCGCCAGATTTGGCAGCCTTGGCCCTGGAGATGTGGTCGTGGGCCCTGGAAAGAGGCCTGACGTTGTCTGCAACTCACGTTCCCGGATTGACAAACACCCTAGCGGACAGGTGTTCGCGGGTTTTTTCTGGACAAGGTAGAGTGGCAACTGAACCGCTCAGTTTTCCTGTCATTGAACAATTGGACAGGCAATGCATTGACAGTAGATCTGTTTGCTTCTCGTATGAACGCTCAGCTGAAGGAGTATGTCTCTTGGCGCCCAGAACCAGAGGCCATGTCGGTGGATGGCCTAAACATTCACTGAGGCAACCTGGGGCTAGCGCATGCCTTTCCCCGCTTCAGCCTAGTGTTCAAGGTACTGAGGAAAGTCCAGTCAGACGTAGCAATAGTGATTTTGATACCTCCAGTTTGGGAGTCTCAGACTTGGTACCCCAAGGTGTTGAACATGTTGTTCGAGAGTCCGGTTCTCCTGCCACAGAACTGGGATCTGCTGTCCTGCCGCACAACAGGAGACCCCATCCGCTGTTGCCAGATCTGATGCTTGCCGCGTGGCCAAGATCAGGCGACAGTTGCAGGTCGGGGCCTTTCGGCAGGGGCTTCAGACCTCATCCTCTCGGCTTGGAGAGAAAGCACTTCTAGACAGTATCAGTCAGCATGGGCTCAGTGGGCCAGCTGGTGTGATAGAAGGAAGATTGATCCAGTTTGCGGCTCTATAGAGAGCGTAGTAGAATATCTTGAATGGATGTTCCGACAGAACAACTGCTATACATTGTATGTCAATTGGGGTGGCTCGTTCTGCGATCTCGTCTGTACACTTACCAGTAGACCATTGTAATGTGGGTAGTCACCCTCTAGTGTCCAAACTGATGAGAGGTCTGTTTCACAAACGTCCTCCTTGTCCAAAATATGTTTCAACATGGGACGTCAGTCGGGTCCTAGAGTACCTTCTGCATTGTTGCCAAGCTAATAGTCTTAGTTTGAAACAGCTGTTTCATAAGTTGGTAACACTAGCGACATTGGTGTCAGCCGACAGGGGTCAGACTTTTAGCGGCTCTTGACTTGAGATTCAAAAAAAAAAAAAAAAAATGTAGAAACGGGGTTTTCTTGGACAATTCCTACCCTGCTGAAACTTCTAGACCAGGGAAACCTGCCAGAAAGTGTTTTTGGGCGGCCTTCCCGCAGGACAGGCGCTTGTGTGCCTTCACATACCTGAAAGAATATCTAAGGCGGACTTCTTCCCTTCGGAAAGAAGGGGGGGGGAGCAGAAGTTGTTCATATCGTTCAGCAGACCACACAGGCCAGTTGGTTCTGCGACCCTGGCCAGGTGGGTTAAGTCAGTGTTAGGCACGGTAGGTGTTGACACAGCAACTTTCTCAGCTCATTCCACTCGAGGAGCATCCACTTCAGCTGCTACAGCTGCTGGGGTGTCTCTACATAGCATCATGAATGCAGCGGACTGGTCACGAGAGTCTACCTTCCTGAAGTACTACAGGAGGGACAACAACCAACACACGTTTGGCCAGGCTGTGCTGTCCACGGCTCTGAAGTCTGCATAAGGTAAATGATATACCCAAATAGGGAGTGTGCAGGTATAATTGAGGATTAGGCAAATTGTACTTACCATGAAGGATAATCCCAATTATACCTCACACGAACTATTTGGGTATATCTTCCCACCCTTGCTGTTCTTCAGCTCCCAAGTAGCTGAAAATGCCCACCCATGGTGAACAGCACAGACTCTTTCTCGCACGTCGTCAAATGGCGGCGAACAATGTCATTACGTCATGATATCCCGTGATGCTTTGCGATTAGAGCTTTGTACACGTGCGCCACCTAGCGATAAGCATAGGAAATACTGCATAAGGTAAATGATATACCCAAATAGTTCGTGTGAGGTATAATTGGGATTATCCTTCATGGTAAGTACAATTTGCCTAATCCTCAATTTTATGACATTTTTTTCTGTACAGCACTTGTAAAGTTCAGCATTATTGAGTTCCGCTTGCTTTTTGTTCAGTTTCGGAGATGATCCAAGTGCCTTCAGAAGAACTGGACTCTGCCCTCACATCAGAGATCACAGTTACCAGAGGTACATGTTTGCATTTTCACAAAATACTTAATGTATTGTTTACCTATGTACATATCCTGATAAATGCCATTACAAGAATAACAAGAGTTCCACGATCTCATACCTTCGCCAAAAGATGTTAACCCTTGCGGGTGACGAATTCTACAATTTTAATCATTGATTTTGTAAATAAGAGCCTCATTTGCATAGATTATATCAGTTGATCATATTCTCCACCCAATGACAGCCTTATCATAACAAAAAGGCTATTATAGCACTTCCTCATAAATTATGCAAATGAGGTCATGATTTGAACAAATTATGTTTATTAATGTTCACCTTCACTTAACTTCCAAATGTGGCAAGTATGAAATTCGGGGTGCAGCAGTTACAACTATGGAATTATAAGAATTTTCCATTAATTATGCAAATTAGGTCCTCATTTACATAATCTATATCCTCAGATGTTTTTCTCGTTCTCAAGTAGATGTCACAACTGTTTCATAGTTCTATTATCGAACAAATCAGATTTATAGAATTTCCTCATTAATTATGCAAATTAGCTCCTGATTTGCATAATTGCCATCTGATTATGTCAAGCATCACTTCAACTACCTACATACCAAAAATCACGACAATACGTCAACCGGTTCTTGAGTTATCGTCCTTCAAATTTTTTCAACAAATGCTCCTGCAGTTCCAGAACAAGGCGCTAGGGGACCCAAACTCATGTCACTTCTTCCCTACCCCAAGAGCTATCTACCAACCAAAATTCGTGACCCTAGCATGTCCAGAACATGAGATATCAAAACCGGAAGTTCAGCTGCAGTACCTAGGAAAGCCGCCAGGGGGCCCAAAATCTAATCATTTCTAGGTCTCATGAAGTCCCACCCACCTACCAAGTTTCATTCCAATCCATCCACTGCTTCTCGAGTTATCTTGCTAAACCACACACACACAAACACACCCACACACAGACAAACGCTACTGAAAACATAACCTTCTTGGCGAAGGTAATTATTAAAACGTGTTTTCATGTTTTGTTCTCAATGATATATTCCAGGCGAGGCTATCAGACGTCAGAGGGACGTGTACCATGCAGGAGACTGCAGAGATGCCCTGGCCAAAGCCTTGTATGCCAGGCTATTTGGCTGGGTGGTCAATGGTATCAACCACCTACTGCAACCTCTGGAAGATAGGTAATTTCCCACTGCAATTCATCCATTCTGGCCATTTGTGACAATGTTTTGCATCTTTTGAAGTAAACCATTTGTATAACCACCTGGTACAATTTGTACACTTCCAGCCCTGAAGACACCCTGGAGGTTGGGGTTCTGGACATCTTTGGCTTTGAGGATTTCTCCAGGAACAGTTTTGAACAGCTGTGCATCAACTTAGCCAACGAACAACTCCAGAACTTCTTCAACAAACATGTCTTTCAACAGGAGCAGGTATGTTAGGTTAAATAAAAAACAAATCAAGGTTTGTTTCTCTTTTTTGTAAGATGATACCTATAGGTTTTGACATTTTTTCCCAGAGCTTGAGAGAGAGAAATATCCTTTTGATTGTGTACAAGATAAGTTTCCTGGTTTTCAATAATTAGATAGCAAGGAAATATTATTGCAGCCAGATAAACCATGTACCAGTAGACACTCTTATATCACTAAGTATACTGCTTTAATACTATGACTTGTACTTAGCTTGTAGGAGTATAAATGTACAATAAAGGTTGTTTGTTCATTCATTCATATGTTAATTATGACTTTATTAGATTCTTACAGTTCCCAATATCTTACAGGAAGCGTACCAGACAGAAGGGGTTACTATGGAGTTGGTACGCTTTGCAGACAACCAACCAACCGTGGACCTCTTTCTGCAGGTAGGAAACCTACTTCTTATATTTATGTGTCCCACATAGAAACGTATACTATATGTAGTACAAGTGCACTAGTATATATTTAGACATCGAGAACAAATGATCAATGATCGACAGGTGGCGCTTTTAGGGGCAGCCACAGTATTTTATCGCTCCTCCTTCAACTTGTATTTTAGTCCGTTTGACTGTTAGTGTGAAGTCATCGATGTATGTATGCTTGTCCGATACGTTGCTGAAGTCGCGGGGATTACTAGTACCTCAAATTCTGCCGTAATAGTCAAGTTACTGTGGTTTTTGCACGACGACGTCTCTGCGACCGGGCCTACTAACAATGGCGTCAGTCCTGAAGTACTCCTCCGGATTCCTGCGTGCCTGCCGTGCTGCAGCCAGGCCCCTTCTACCACAGCAAAGGTCCCTGTTGAAGACTTCTGGACTACTCAGATTCTCTTCTAGACCAAGAGGGAGTAAAGGAGGCAGAAATCGTATTCGCCAAATTCAGACTGTAATAGGAAATAGACCGCCGTCTTCAACTCAAGGTATTTCCCTATTATGCAAATCTGCCGGCGAAGCGCACATACCTCACGAGCCGAAAGGTGGTAAACAACAACAACCGGAAATAAACAGGAATCTTATTAGAGTACCGGTAGAACACAAAAAACAAGCAGAACGCACACAAAACTTCCCGTCCGTATACATGTGTAACGCCCGTTCGCTATTCAACAAGCTCGACGAGTTTGAACTTACAATCCGTCAGCTGAGAGTGGACTTAGCGATTGTCACTGAGACTTGGTTTTCGACGCGAATGACATCCGAGGTCCTGAATGTTGAAGGCTACTCCCTGTTCTCCACCAGTAGAACAGATCGACGTGGAGGCGGAGTTGCTGTGTACATTCGGGAAGACATACAGGCCAGAGCAATTCCCCAAGTCACCGTGCCACCGGATCTCGAATGTGTATGGGTCCGGGTTAGGCCTACACGACTTCCGCGTCAGGTATCGTCTATCGTGATCTGTGCTACATATATACCACCAAACTCTAAACATCAAGACCTCCTGATAGAACATCTAGTCACAACAACTGACATGCTGAGAACACTGTACCCTGATGTAGGGTTGGTATTTGCGGGAGACTACAACCGACTGGATTACAAGCCTCTCCTCCTAGCCCACCGACTCCAGCAGGTAGTCAACTCTCCAACCCGCGGTGAAGCAACGTTAGATGTTGTGATAACCAACCTGAAATCCTACTACAATGTTCCTGTTGTGACTAACCCTATCGGAAACAGTGACCACAATGCAGTTTGGTGGCAACCAAAGGTCCGCCCGAAGACGCCGAATAAGACCAAGGACGTGCTTGTGCGCCCCATGCCGGACTCTAGTCTTCGCGCATTCGGGCGTTGGATTACAACACACAACTGGGAGGAAGTGCTCGATGAAACCACTGTAGACGGCAAGACAACAGCCTTCTACCGCACTCTTCACGAAGCAATAGACAAGTTCTTTCCACAAAAGAAAGCCAGACTGCACCACAAGGACAAGCCGTGGTTTACTGCTGCACTTAAGAATCTGATCCACAAGAGACAGAGAGCGCACAGTCACGGCCAATGGACGCTCTACAGGTTCCTTCGGAACAAGATAGCCAGAGACATTCTCCGAGGAAAGAAAACATACTACAAGGACCACATCGAGCACATGAAGAAGACTCACCCATCAGAATGGCACAAGTCCATCCGACGCGTGGCAAATTGGTCTGCTCCTTCTACAACGATCCACGTACCGGGTGTAGAGCTGCACGACAGGGCAGGTACAGCAGACGCAGTGAACAAACATTTGTCAGCCATCTGCCAGGCACTCAGCCCACTGGATCGTGGTGACTTACCGTCATACTTACCTGCTACTCCACCTCCGCGAGTAAGCATATGGGACATGTACTATCGACTTAGGCGTATCAAAGTCTCCAAAGCCCCAGGACCAGACAACATATCGCCAAAACTCATAAAGGAATTCGCTTTCGAGCTGTCGACGCCAATGACGGACATTCTGAACTCATCACTCCAAGAGGGAAAAGTACCAGCGCAATGGAAAGAAGCCATTGTCGTCCCAGTACCAAAGGAACTACCAGCAGACCTCGACAGGGTACGCCCCGTTTCACTTACTCCACAACTTGCTAAAATATGCGAAAGCTTCATTTCAACTTGGATCATGTCTGATATCCTACCTCACGTTGATCCCAAACAATTTGGGAATATGAAGGCATGTTCCACAACTCACTGCCTCGTTGACTTGCTGAACTACTTTTACGCAGGAGCTGAGAACAAGTCTACTGTAAGTACCCTGATCCTCACGGATTTTTCCAAAGCATTCGACAGGGTCTGTCACAAAACTGCTATCACCAAGCTCATTAATCTCGGAGCAAGACCGTCCCTCATTCCGTGGGTATGTAGTTTTGTCTCTAACCGCAGACAATGTGTTCGGTATCAGGGAGTGTTATCTCAATGGGAAAACCTGACGTGCGGTATAGCCCAGGGCACCTTGATGGGGCCACTCCTGTTTCTCACACTTATAAATGACGCCAGACCAGTGTCTGAGAACTCGTACTGGAAATATGTTGACGACTACAACCTGGGAGAGATCAGGCGAATCACTACACCAACATCACTCCAGTCTGACCTCAATAACCTTGATACCTGGACTGCTGAAAACAACATGTTGTTAAACCCTAAGAAATGTAAGGCCATGCATTTCTCCTTTGTGCGAACCCCCCTGCAACCACCTGTGCTGACTCTCGCAGGGCAGACTCTGGACACTACGTCGAAGACAAGGTTGCTGGGGCTCCACATACGCTCCGATCTGAAATGGGACGACCAGGTGGAAGACATGGTGTCTAAAAGTAGTAAAAGACTGGTTGTTATCAGCAGGCTACGCCGTTCAGGAGTACCGGTTGCAGACCTGAACACTATCTACTGCGGCTACATAAGACCGTTACTGGAATACGCCGCTCCATGTTGGGCCTCAGCACTAACCCACAAACAGTCGGCCGCCCTGGAGCGGGTGCAGAGAAGGGCCTGCAGAATGATGATGGGTCGACAATTCACCACGTACACTGAAGCCCTCCAGCATCTCGGACTTCAGCGCTTATCAGCCCGCAGACAAAAACTGTGCACAGACTTTGCCTTGAAGGTGGAAAGATCGCCTCGCTTCTCCGCATGGCTGCCCCCTACCCGCGGACAGCTACATGGCAGGCATCTCCGCAACTCGACACGCTACCAACAACCAACAGGGACTAAACGATACATAAATAGTGCAATCCCTGCAATGACAAAGTTACTGAATGGACTGTAGACGTTTTTTAAATATTGTAACAGATTTTATGTATTTATGTATGACAATGGTGGAACGAACCGTAAATATTTATAATGTGTTATATTTTAAGCTGTGATTTTATCAATTTAACTGATTTTAAAACTACTGTAAAGTCTGGCGTAATTCAGTCTGTTGACTGCCATGTCAGATTGTGCTTCATCTTTAATAAACCAATCATCATCATCATCATCATCATCAACAAAACATTGAATTCTGTAATTATTCAAATTTTTTTAATACTTTCCTTTTGCAGACATGGGATGAGGACACTGTCGTGGTTAAGCGATGGGTATCTGAAATTTTTCCTTCTGAGTTTGCGGTGTTGCCTGGAGTTTGGTGATGCTTGCTTCATACTGTGTTGAAGGAAATTGATGTGGGCTTGAATTGACAAAGCTGTTATCATTTTACACAAGAACCTTTTTCTTTTTTGTTTGTGTGAACAGTTGGTTAGATAATTGTTTTACTGCAGGGTACAGAAGTGTTGTTTTGGTGGCTGAGTTGTGGGTTTGTCTAAAGCTTTGGTTGCATAGTGGTTGGGAGATGATTTTGACAGTTAATTCATAGGAGGTAATACCTGAAGGTGACATAGCATGTGTCAGGTTTGATTAAATGGTGGTATGTGGAGGAATTCAGGAAGTGATGTATATTGTATGATGACGTACTAGTAATACCAGATTGAGTTACATCATACAATCCCCTCCACAGTTCCTATATAGAGTTTGGTCAACTTGAAGGTCACAAAAATGCAAAATACTTCCCAGAAATCCGAAGGCCTTTATGTCTTGTTGACTATGTTCCCTTGGAATCTCTTTGAAGTTGAATTATTTTTTTCCTTCCCAAACTACATGTACTCTAGAAGCCAACAGGTATCCTGTCAGTGTTAGATGAGGAGAGCCACTTCCCCAAGGCTACTGACTTCTCCCTGGCCACCAAACTGCACCGCACGGCAGGACAGACGGCACCACACATCTACATCGTCCCCAGGGACGCAGGGGCCAGCTTCTCCATCACTCACTATGCTGGCAGGGTGGGCAACAGGCTTTTGGCTCTGAAATAGCACCCTCTAGGGGCCATGTATACAAGTGCAGACAATCTGACAAAACACTCTGCCAACCTTAACTTTTAACATCTTGAAAGAAAAAACATTCACTCTAGAAACAAATGTTGGTATGCCATGCTCTCTGGACTATTGAATAAGTGGGAGGAAAAAGTTCTGTATCACTGAGCAAAAGTTTACATATTCTACATGTACATGACAATGTATATTTCTAGTGCCATGATAATGTTTTAGTTTTACAGAACCATGCTTTTTACCATTTCATGATGATTTTATCCTTGTGCATAGCTACCTTTCAAAGATGTTCAAGACTTTATTTTGCAAGTTTACATTTTTTATCAACTTGTCCTGTGAATACTGAAAGGATCAGTGGTTCTACATGTAAATCTTGGTCTTGACCACTTCAACAATAGAATTTTTCTTACGTTTTTCTAATGAGTTGGTTATGCTAACTTGTTTACTTGTGGTTTGTGCATTTACTTTCTTATGTTGAGACTTTTTCCCCATTTAAGGTGACCTATGACGTGAATGGTTTCTTGGAAAAGAACAGAGACACCCTTCCCAATTCTGTTCTCTTGGTTCTAAAGAGTAAGTTGTCCAATATACTGTATATCCTCAAATGTTCAAGATGGTTTTTACTGTTGTTGCAGTGTCCTCTTCATCTCCATTTCAACTAAATCTATTTAGTTTCCCATTTAACCCTAGTTTGGAGCTTTTTGTTCAGGTGATATTTTAATTCATCATGTTATTCATTGTATTCATTATCACCGTGAGCATATTAAAGGTATTTTTTGTAGAATTAGTCAAACTGTATTAAGGAGTTTGACTTTTGACATAAAAATGTATGGCGCTAACTCAAAACTAGAATAATTTTAAATCATTCTTTTAACACAAATTGCAACCTCTTTCTGGGAAATAGACCCTTGATAGAATATTTGATACTAATTTGACAGACCACTTGTTGAGCATGAGTGTACCATCCCCTTGTATCCATCCCCCTGCTGACCAACAGTGTACCGTCCCCTGTAGCGAGCAGCAGCCTGTTGGTCCGTGAGATGTTCCAGAGTCGTATGACGAGGACCGGTTCCCTCGCGCCCAGCGCGCGCCAGCTGCAGTCCAGGCGAGTCATCAAGCCCAATCAGACACCCTTCTCCTTTTTCAGGAAAAGGAGCTCTGTGCACCAGTCAAAGGTACGACTCTTGGGGCCTTGTACCTTTCAATGCTGAGCCAAGAGGGCTGCATTTACTTATATTACTCACATAAGGCAAATGGTGACTATCCCCTGTGTAGCCTTTTCAGGTTTTGTCCACTGCACCATGCGCTTGTATCTAATTTCACCCACAAAATATGCAAGTCACTTCCTGATTGGCTGCCTTGGATGGAATCAAATTCAATATTCATACCTTGACTGGAGTGCTTGTTACACAATAATTACTAGTATCTCTGAGCACATTTTCATAATGAACACATTATCTGATCTTTTGCCCCTAGTTTTAGGAAGCCTTACTGCAAGCTTTTGGCAACACAGAATGAAAAATATGTTGTTGTTTTTTTACTTTGTTGACATCTCCTTGTTACTACCAACAGATGCACCGTCCAGTGTCTGCAGCCCTGAGCAGTGAAAGAAAGGGGCCAGCCACGGTAGCCTTTCACTTCAAGGTAATCTGCAGTTCAGTTGTGCCCTCTAACAGTTTCCCACTAAACTGCAGTAGATTTTTTTTTCACCTATATATTTCCATTTTGCTTGCATTAAGTTGTACTGTGTATATTGAGTTGTGCAGTACTGTTCTATGAGTCCCTAAAGTTTATGTATTATTATTATTATTATATATTGAAATAAGATTTCTTCATGTTTTTGTCCAGAACTCCTTATCAGAGTTGATAGCCAAGATGTCGTCAGCCAGGCCCCACTTTGTGCGCTGTATCAAGCCTAACACAGGCAAGCAGCCTGACAGTCTGGACCCAGGCTATGTCCTCACTCAGCTCAGGTTTGTAAATACTGTAAAAAATGCAGAAATTTCACAGGGATTTCTTTTTCACAGTTTTCAGGGTTACCTCTTCACCATGAATTCATGACACAGAAAATATGCATTTTGTCATGTGATACCACTCTATCTTACCATGATGATAAATTGAACCACTGCAAATTTAGATGTATTTACTGTAGTATCACAGATACATGCAGGGCTCAAAATAGCTACCTGCAATCTCCAGATTGCAGGTAGAAATTGCAATATTGCAAGATTCTGCTGTACATTTCCAAAGATCCAATCGTCCTCACTTGCAGTTATTTCATAACTTAGCCATTAGCACTTAGTTTCAACAGTAGGTTCTAACTTTTTTCTTGTTAAAATGTATCTCAACAGATACACAGGAGTCTTGGAGACTGTGCGTATCAGAAAGCTGGGATTTCCTGTCAGACTTCCTTTTCAGGACTTTCTTGACAGGTATGCATATTTCCTAAAACTCTATAGTTATGTATAATATTGCAGCGTTGTTAACATTTGGCATCTTTGTGGTATTTAGGACTAAATGCTCAAACTTGGGTGTCTGTTTCTGTTATGCATAAATCAATGTCATTGGAACTGTAGGGGGGGATTGTACGATGTAGTGTAATCATGTATGACACCACTTCCTGAATTCCTCCACATTCCACCCACTTCCCGTAGCATACAGGGTCACCGTCATGCTTGAACTCCCTGCCAATCAACTGTCAAAATCACCTCCCACCCACCATGCAACCAAAGCTAAACAAACAAACAGAGACACATACCCAGGTTTTCTGAACATAGCTAGACAGCTTTAATTTGTAGACACAGGAAAACAGAATCATGTAATTTGTATCGATGATGTTCCACACCTTCCACAGGTATCCTGCCCTGACCATGTGTGCAGTGGCACCTGACAGTGAGGACACAGCTGTCAGCAGGTGTAAACAGGTGCTGAAGTACTGCAAGCTCCAGCAGTATCAGGTGAGGCTGGGAATGTTACTAGATCTCATGCATGCATACTGAGCCCCTGCTCCTGTTAGTGAATGTGTATTGAGGATGTGGAATGAATACACGTTGTTCACACACACTGGTATGTGTATCAGGCCCATGCATTCCCTTGAAACAGACTGAGGTTAACAGGGAACAGACTTTGTCATGTTTTTTTTTGTTTCATGTAAGTAGTAAACCACCTTCAGGCATAACATACCGTTTTTTAGTAATAAACAAAAGCTGTGTAAGACCAGACTGTAAGGCTTGAATTTTTAGCTTTCAATTTTAATGTAGACTGGTTTAACATATAGTTCTTTTGTGAATATGAGCTTTACAACTCACCAACTCCCCCCCCCCCCAGCTGGGTCGTACCAAGGTGTTTCTGAGGTATTGGCACCCTGAGCAGCTGGCATCTATCACTGCTAACCTTCAGGAGAAGGTGGTCATCTGTCAGAAAGGTGGGTTGCATGTGTGCTGTGCCATTGTATCAAGGTAACATTTTGCTCCCTTTGCACACAGCCATGATGGTAATCTGTTTTGATCTTTTAAGCGGATTTAAAAATCTTCTTCTCTGAATGGCTGAGTGACTATACATTTTGTAGGTGTGCAGACAGAAGATGGAGAGGTAACGTGGGTTTGACTTGGTCTAGCATCCCTGGGAAGTTAAAGGTGGTAGAAGGACTCTAAAGGATGGGCTCTGCCTTCCAATACCATGCCCTAGATACAGTAGATTAACCCACTGCCACAATAGCCTCAAAAGGCCATGGAATTTAAGTTTACCTTTTGCCTCTTCTCCGGCTTGATTTTTGTACAGTACTTTGCAGTAATTTATTCCATTTTGTTTCATTTTTGCAGTTGGACGGGGTTATCTTGCCAGAAGAGACTACAGATCACTACAGAGCACCAAACAGACCCAGCAGAAATACGTATCCAAGTTCCTCCAGTCTGTTGAGGACTATGGTTCACAGGTGCACAACGACATTGCTCGGCTCTGTTCCATCGACTCTCTACGCAGCAGTGCCCGTCAGAGTGTCGTCGCCCGTAATTCAGGAAACCCAACCTCCCTTGCCCCAAATGTCGACAATACCAAACTGCCAGACCCAGATATTATCAAAGAAGGGTCCATACGGGCCATGTACCCCCCTCCCACACCCAGGATTGCGTTGGCAATGTTGTCGTCACTCCTGCCCTCCTCTCCCCCACCCCCCCAGAAGGGGAAGTCCAGAGAACCCGCCGATTTCCCACCCCCTCCTCCAGCCTCCGATAGCGATGACACAGTTGAGGATGACTACATGCCTCCCCCACCTCCAGTGGATTCCATGGACTTGGTAGATTCCATGGACTTGCCTCCTCCACCAGAGGAATTCTTAGATGCAGAGAATTCCCTTCCAGAGCCACCGGAAGACGTGTTTATCGCACCATCAGATACAACGACACAACCAAACCAGAAAACAGCTAGCAAGGTGCAATGTTTTAGTCATAAAGCTACTTAAATTGTTCTGTATTTGATAACATTCTACTGCTATGAGCCAGAACTGAAAATTGCCTTTTGGTTATAAATGATGAATTGTGTTCATTGATTTTCTATGTCAACTCTTAATCATGACAGGTGTCTTGTCAGCAAGTCAAGCACATGATTTTAGGGAAAACAATATGTTATCATATGTAAAATATTATTATGATAATACACATGTACATGTAATAAAAACATGTCTTCCTCTGTATATGAAAATGAAACACAAAAGAGTGGAGAAATGCATAGAACAAAAAGGAGAAAAAGAACTTGCTCTAAAGAATAGAAAGAAAAAAGAATACTTCTTAGAAATAAACTCCAACAAAGGAAGGAAACAAACTGAATATAAACAAAGTGCAGTTTGGGGATGGTGAAAATGGTGAGTCTTAAATTTAAAACAAATTTTAAAAAATAGATATCATTGATATTAAGAATAACATGGTTATGAGGGCCACAAGAGGATTGTAAAGCACCATTGCATTTATTTGCATCAATGAAGGTTAGACATCCAGGTTAACTCATAGAGAATTCAAACTCTACTACTGGATTATTAGTACCAAGATTACTTTTGGATATTTTGAGAGACACCCACCACTCTTTTTCAGCGTCACTTAAATAAAAATTGCTTGTATTGTTTATTTTCCTCACAGACACAGCAAGGACAGAGGAACTGGAAAGAGCAGTGGCATCAACATGTCCAGCACATCCACCAACAGCACTCACACCAGAGGCTATCTACAGTCCCTCAGGCTTCAACAATCAACAAAGAAAACAACTCTGCAAGGACTAGAAACGTGACCAGACCATCGAGTAAGCCTCCTGCACCACCCAAGAGGAGTCCTGAAACTCGCCTCAGCACTTACTTAGCCGATGTGGATACACCTCTTTCGTCAAGCTCTACAAGTCAGCATGCATTAGAAACTAAATCCAGGAGCTCCTCCAGTGACTCCCAACCTCCATACACCATTCCTTCTGAAGAGGTTCGGACTCCTACTGAGGTTCAAAAGCCTAGAGTGGTGAGCAAGCCACCTGATGTTGTCCCTGTTGAACAGAACATCCCTCCACCACCAAAGGAGCCAGCCCCCCTTCCCCCTCCTGTGCCTGACAAGAAAAAGTGGCGCATGACCGACATTCCAAGAACAAGGAATCCTCCTCATGTCTTCCCTCTCAGAAGTGCACAGTCGGCTTCGGAGTTGTCGAATCTACCTTCCCCTCCCCCTGGGGGTGCCTCCCCCACCACCAGGCCCTGCGCCGCACGTACCTGACAAAGTAGGAAAACTAGCCGACCTGTGTCCCTTGTCATTGTCAGAATGTCCA